TGTGCCTGCCTAGCTAAATGGACTACTTCACTGCTACTAATGACTCTAGCTCAAATAATTTCTCTAAATCTTCTTCTTCCGTGACAAAAACCAATCGTGGTGGTGGGAAGAACAAAAGCAAAGGAGTGAGGCTGTCCACTGACCCACAGAGCGTGGCTGCTCGTGAGAGGAGGCACAGGATCAGCGATCGGTTCAAGATCTTGCAGAGCTTGGTTCCTGGTGGGACCAAGCTTGACACTGTGTCCATGCTGGAGGAGGCTATCCACTATGTGAAGTTCCTCAAGACTCAGATATGGCTTCACCAGACCATGATCAACTCTGTGGACGATCACCATGATCCATCATCGTCATCATCACCGTCCATGTTGATGGACATTCCAGCTAATCGTCATGGTCTTCATCCAACTGGGTGCTTTGATCAGCTTCCTCCGCAGCATCATCAGCAGACTCATGATTTGTACGCTCACAGCAACTTCGTTAGTGCTGCTGCTTCAGTGCAACCACCGTCGCCAGCGGTTAATATTCCAATAATGCCGGAGTATAATTACTTCCAAGGTCAAGAAACCCTTGCCAATATTGAAGCCTATATGAAATATTATAGCTAGCTTTAGCAGAGAGGGGACGGCCGGGTTAAAGAGCTAATATCGCCGAATCCTTCTCTGCTCTCATAAAGAAACTAGTTAGATTAAGTCTCTCTTGTATTAGGTTATGTATTAGTATATGTTGGGAGTTAGATGCGATTTGATGGTAGTGGTGGTGTGTTTAAATAACAAAAATATTGCTTTTAACTAATATTACTTTGTGTTGCTCTAAAAATGGAAAGGAATGTTCTCTGTGTTTGATGGTTTCTGTCGAGACCGATTTAGATTAAGTGCAAATTTGGTGTGCTGATGAACCTAGGAATGATCCTAAAAGTATCGATTAGCTTAAATATCCTGTGGGTTTTAGGCTGGATTAGTAGGGCATGTTTGCTAAATACGTGCTTGGGTCGATACTCGTTAGTTTCCTATAGTATTAAGGGAATACTCTTGGATCAATATACTCTTGTGATAAAAACTCCTAAAAAGTGATGCATTGTGAATCAATTTGCACTTTTTAATTTTATCTATTTTTTAGCTAACAAGTATTTTTCTTACATATAATCTATCGTGCCATAAAAATTCGCCCTGACGGAATTATAGCGTTAACGGAGTAGAGACCTCCCCAACAGACCCGATCGGATATATGTGAATTTAATTTCTACAAACTCAAGTACAGGTTCGTGAAACTTTTGAATTCGTACTTATTATGCTAAAGATAAAAAAAAATATACAAAGAGTAAAAATGTCAAAATAGATAATCAAACAAACCTCAATCACTTGTGTGTTTGAAACTGCTTTTGAAACAACGCTAAAAGCGTTTTCTAATAATAAAAAACAATATTTTGTTTTACGTTTGCTAGAAAATACTTGGAAATGGTGTTAAGTTGTAAAATCATTTAATTAAGAAACACATATTATGTACTTCATTCTGAAGCACTTGAATTCCTCATTAACTTTTGAGTTAATTGGGATCCACCTTGCCAATCATATCTTTTAGACTAAACATTGTTGTCTTTTTCAATTTAAAATGTGAGTTAGTCGTATGATATATAAATGTCATACTTTTGATTTTTTGAAACGCAAGTACGATATTCATTCATAACAGGAATAACGTATGGTTAGAGATAAGGGTGCTAACAGTAGGACCTCGATAAAAACCTTCCCGATAAGTAACCCGAATGAAGGGAAAAAGAGTGTTCCGCAACAAACAAAATAACAATTAAGACTATCCTCCCAAATAATCAAGACATTAACAATGAGAACCATCCTCCAACAGAAGGTCAGAAATTAAATCAAGGGGTTCCTTAAACCAAGAAACTGGGTGCTCCAAGGTTAGACTGAATCTGGCTAGCCGATGAGCCACTGAATTAGCATGTCTTCACACAAAGCTTGCTTTCCACGTTTTGAATGACTGCAAGATCCTTCGGGTATCCTCCAATAAATGCCCAAATGGCCTGTGATTAACCACCGCATTATTTTGAATTGCGACGATGACCAACAACGCATCCCTTCCAATATAATCTGCTCAGTCCTCCATTTGCTATAAAATCCCCAGCTACATTCCTAATGATGACGCCAACACCACCCGCTGCCGCATGTTCATCCCACGCACCATCAAAATTACACTTGAACCAACCTTCCTCCAGCCTCCTCCATGTCTGCGCATCATTAGGTTTGACAGGCTTTTGTACCACATTCCACTTTTTAAACTCATAGCATGAGCTTGTAATTGGATTTCCTGTGGTTGTAAAACTGATTCCTGCCAAAGCATTGCATTACGAGTGTTCTATATCTTCCAAATCAACACCAGTGCCAAATCAAAGCTCTCCTAGAGAGAGACTGAGCCAACCGAGCCAGTCATTCTTGAAACCCAACCTCTCTGTGCTGCAACATTTGCAACCCCAAAGGACTAAAGAACCATATCGCTGCTGCTCGGGAGCAATGCAATAGACCATGTTCAATTGCTTCTGGTACGTTGGCACAAAAAGGACAACAATCATCTACAATGGTGGTGAGCACACACTTTAGTTTAGTAAAAATGATATTCTTAACAATTATTTGTACCATTATTCGTATCACGTCTATAATAGAAATAGAACTCACGTGCTGGTAGACTTTATCTCTATTAGAAAAATAATACATGTAAATTGTAAGTGTAGCACTACTCTTAATTTAGGGGTGACTGGTGAGCACAAATACTCCCAACACTTTGTCATGAAAAAAAAAAAAAATTTATATAATGATCACAATTATTTTGTGAACTTGTAGATGAATTCAAGGGAGATTTTAATTAAAAGTCCACGTCACTAATTGTATTCAAGTTCGAGTATTAATACCGTCGGGTTCGTGTTCTTCATCCTTTTTTCGAATCACATAAGCAAGCAAGGTCACCAATCTCGGAACCATTAGTCCATCATTAACCAGGAAAACCCACCCCACCCAAACCGAATGTAAGGCCATCTCCATCCAAAATGGCTATACATAACTCTGTTCAAAATTATAACCATTTAAGAAATTATTTTTAAATAAACAGTATCGGTCCATATTCATATACCATCTTTAACCCAAGGGACTAAACATAGCCCTCTTACTAATTTATTAGTTTTAAATTTAATGCTTAATTTAGTTAAATTACCGTTAGATGTTTTTAAATCTTGCCATTAAATTTGAATCTATTATTGCAATTGGTTAAAAAAAAGGGCTAAGAGGGAGACTATATTTGGGTAGCCTGATGCCTCTTTGGCTAGGTAATAGTTTGGTGAGCTTCAGAAAATTATAACCCAACCATTAATTGGAAATGAATTTTTTGACAAATTAGTTCATTTTTTTTTTGTTTTTAAACCTTTAGCCCTCTCCGTTAAAGATGATCTAAGAGGATTGGACAGGTCACACCACAAGGTCCATCAAATGATAACACCGTTAATTGGGTTAGTTAAAAGTACTTGCCAATCAATCTTAAATTTGTTTTTGGGAGAAAACAGTGAGAGAGGCGACTGTCCATCACATTGTACTGGGTGCATTTGATAGGTTGTTTTAACCATATATTAATCGATAATAAAAATAAAAAGTAATAAAAATCATGAACCAACCTAGATTTTGAGAAATTTTTTAATGTGTTTGGAACACATAATGGTACATCATGTGTTAGTTAAATAAGTGATGAAATATTTGTGTTAAAAAATCAACAACTTAAAATATGAAACTTCCCTTTACTTATATAATGACAAATAATATACCATCGTGTTACAAACATAATAAAAAATTTATCCTAGATTTCCGTATAGCATTTGTAAGAAAAATAAAAAGTAACAAAAATGACACACAGTTCCCAAAAAATGGCAGACAAAATGAAACACTTTGGTAGTGTGTAATGTCAATGTAGCCAGCTAGAAAATAATACAACGTTTCGCAAAAACGCTTATGAGCAACAATGTTTAGGATATTAAGAATTATGAAACGAGCCATCAACGTTAGACATGAAAAAGCTAATAAAGAATGCACGAAGCGCATATCAAGTGGAAACTGGTCCTTCTAATGTCTTTCTTTCTCTTTGTTTTTGAAAAAAATAACAACTAGTGGCATACCGCTATTATCTACTCCTCTAGAGCATGGTTGGAATTGACAAGTGATGTTCATTTCCTCTTATGTTTTCGGGTGGAAAAATTTAAATTGTAGCTTCAATCATATGAGAAGTAAATAAAAAACATGGTTGATTCCAAATATTAATATAGTTTTACCTAATTGAAATGTTTTTCTTCCTTTTTGTTGGAAAATTTGCTTTTGCACGATACTTTCCTACCCAGTGGGCTTATAGTAAGCCCAGATGCATCTTTATATGGCCCATACAGTTGTTCATTAACAAGTTTTAACGTCCGACGACACCGTCGGAAGAGCCACGGCGGGAACCGTAGCAAATCTAACAAGTTCAACACTCTGCCATGCTGTGGACCACATTTTACAAAGAAGGGAGAGAGAGCGCATCAACGGCGCACTTTTATTCAGGTACCTAAAAACTTTAGCTCGTTTGGATGTGCTTTTAAAATGATTGAAAATGCTTTTGGAGAAAATATTTTTGGAACCAATCCTTAGTAAAAATACAAGTAAATTATGAAAAAGTATTTAAAATGTTTAATGAAAGAAACACATAATTGGTGATTTTTCCAGAAAGCACGTATTTTTGAAACCTAAAAATATTTTCTCTAAAAGGTTTTCAATCATATGAAAGTACATTCAAACGAGCCCTTAAACTTTTAGGTGCTTATTTGGTATACTAGTTTAATGGCTCACCACCTGTTTGATGAAAGTTCTCACTGGCATTTCGGGGTTTATAATTATATGAAACTGTAACACTAGCAAAAGTAGAAGTTAAGAAGAAATGTGAAAAAATAGAGAAGAAAGTCGAAAACAAAAAAGCTGTGTCTATGGAGTAAATGAGTAGGAAGAGGAAGAAAATGATGTAATAGGTGGTGAAAAACTGCATGTACAATTTGGGTTATGGATGGCCCTCTTCCTACTTATATCAAGTTTTGAACAAAACACACAATATGGACCCCGAAACACTCTGTCTTCTGAATCAATCTCGTCACCGCTATAGTCTTGCATGATATATGTGCTCTCTTCTTCGGAATCTTCGTCCTCCTCATCATCGTCCCATTCGTCGCGAGTTCTGTAAGAATATCCCATCATTGGAAGAATTACCAGAAGAATTTTGTCAATGGTGTCCTCTAACCAGTTTCTTCCTTCTTCCCACACCATTAAGAGGATAACAACAACTCCTCCTCCCACTCCATAACCCACTCCAGTATATATGGACTGCCAATCAAACTCAACTTTTGATGCTTTGTCTCGACCCTCTGGTGCTGCATTTGGTGATATGTTGGCATCACTGCATTTTAGAAGTGAAGGTGGCCCACATAATCCTTTATTGCCTGCGAAGGACTCTGCTGGAAATGTTGAAATCTGGGTACTGAATGGTATCTTCCCGACCAGTTGATTGTATGAGACATCCATGAAAGAAAGGAAAGTAAGGCCCCCAAACTCCACTGGAATTTGCCCGCTCAAGCTGTTGTTTGAAAGGTCTAACGACTCAAGTTGTCGTAGGTTACCTAATGATGATGGGATTGGGCCTGTGAGAGAATTGATGGACAAGTTGAGGCCATAGAGGGATTTGAGTTCTCCCACCTCCAAAGGTATTGATCCACTAAAGTTGTTGCATGAGATGTCAATGTAGGTGAAAACAGTTAGAATCTTTACCAACTCCATTTCCAGACCCTTATTTGTAACTGTTATAGCATCCTGATAGTATACCTGACTGAACTTGAGAACTTGAAATCGAAGGTGATTAGTTTTTGACTCGGCATCACTTTCGTCAGCCATCATTGCTTTCCAGGTTCTCAAGCATCTTCCTCGTATTTCACCATTAAAATTGTTGTGAGCTATGTCAACAATTTGTAGCTTTGGCCAGGTACCACTGATTTTGTGACATTCCATGTGTCCATAAAAACGGTTGGATCGCAAAACAAGGACACGCAAGGAGGATATCTGCTTCAACAAGCAAGGATAGGTATCTCTTATCTGATTGTTTCCAATGTTTAAAACCTCAAGCATTCCGCAATTGCCAAGAGATTTTGGAAATCGACCTTCTATCTGATTTTCATTGAGGTCAAGAGTTCTTAAACTGCAATGCTGAGGAAATCCATCAGGAACAGAACCATTAAGTCTGTTTCTCCTTAGATTAAGTACGGAGAGTGTCCCGCTTATGTTAGTCAAGCATTGGGGAATCGGGCCACTTAGAGAATTATTGGACAAATCAAGAACCTGAAGATATGGTTCCTTGCACATCGATTTCGGAATGCTTCCATTTAACTTGTTGCTTGAAAGAGAGAAGAACACAGTGTACATAAGGAAATCACCAATTTCAGCCGGAATGCTTGAGCTGAAATTATTTCTTGAATAATCCAGATAAGTGGCCAATCGTGGAAGCATTGGAATTTGTCCCTGAAGCTGGTTGGAATGAAGGTCAAGCAAATACAAAGTAGAAGTAGGATTGAGGAAAGGACCTTGTAGAGTTACCAGAAAGTTGCAAGAAAGATTTAGTTGACTAAGACTACTGAGCCTCCAAATCCAGTTGGGTATCTCACCATGAATCTGGTTTAGTGAAAGGTCCAAATAGCCTAATCGGGATTGATTTCTCAAGAAATCAGGAAACACTCCCAACTTTCCAGAAGCCAATTTCAATGTGGTAATGTGGGGATAAGAGGAAAACGAGGATCTGGAACTGTCATAATTAATCAACAAGCTATTGTATGAAAGATCAAGACTCGAAAGATTTCTCAGCTGCTGAAGGCTATTAAGTAAAAAGGTGCCACTGAAGTTGTTCGAAGAAAGTGAAAGTATCTTGAGCTCACTGAAATTAAAGATAGACACCGGAATTGGTCCTTCCAACTTGTTGCTACTCAAATCAAGGGTGTCCAGTACAGAATTATTAGCAAATCCATGCAAATGACCAGAAAATTGATTGTTGGAAAGCTGTAGCTTCTGCAGCATGGGAAGAGAAAACACAGATGGTGGAATAGTCCCATTAAGTAGATTGTGATCGCAAGTCGAGACTCACCAGATTAGTCAGGTTTTCCCAGTGCGAGGAATTAATCTGACCCGTTAGCCGATTGTATGAAAGATTTATTAGGGTCAGATTCTTGGCCATACTGAAGGATGGAACTGAACCATTGAACTTGTTCTTTGCGAAGTCCAGATAAACCAACTGCGTAAGCTCTTCCGTTGACCTCGGGATTGATCCAGTGAAATTGCAAGTTGCAATATCTATTTTGGACAGGAATCTGAGGTTCCCAATAGAGTTTGGAAGCAACTGGCCTGAAAAATTTGCCCCACTGAGAACCAGGGATCGAAGAGATCCATTCTTCGGAAATTCTGGCAAGGAACCACGAAGCTGCGGATTATCGGATAAGTCAATAGTCTGCAGTGTAGGTACCTGGAAGATCTTCTTAGGGAATGCACCATGTAATCCAGAATTCACCATTCGTAAGGAAGTCAAATTCGGGAAATTCGAGAAGAACTCCGGAACATGAGTAGACAAATTGTTGTTCTCAATACGAATAACCGAGAGAGATTGAAGCTTCAGTAGTGAACTATAAATAGGGCCTGAAAGATTACAAGAGGATAAGCTCAACACCCTCAATTTTGGCAACGAAGATGATATCGCTTGACACCACTCGGTCCCCTGTGCTGATATATTCACACCATCAAGATAAAGTTCAACAAGCTCAGAAAAGTTCGCAAGCAGCACATTCAATTTCGGATTCTCAAGATTCAACGAAGGAGTTCCGGGGAAATAAAGGGTAGACAAATCCAGAGTTACCAACCTCGTCAAGTGCGAAATCTCAATTGGAACCTGCCCCGCAAAGTAAGCATTCGACAAGTTCAGATTACTCAAACCGGTTAGCTGCTTGAACTCGGAAGGAATCTGAGTGTAGTTGAACTTGTTGTAAGCCAAATTCAGGTTCTCGATTGACTTCAGACCGAAAAGAGAACTCGAATTATCAAGTCCACCACTAATCGCCTCGCTGCTCAAGTCCAAATTCGAAACACAACCCTTTTTGCAGGACACTCCTTCCCAAGAGCAGTAATCCGTTCCATTCTTCCACTTCACAAGTTTTTTAGATGTTGCAGTGTCAAATACGAGGCTGTTCTTCAATTGTAGCAACAAAGATTGCTGATCCCCGGGACACTGGCCGGAGACATGAAATATGTTTATGCTGAGTGAAAAGTAATAAAGGGGTATTAAGAAAAGCCATGAAAACAGAGGAATTCTCATTGAAAGCTCAGAAAAAAGAAGCAGAGCAGGCTAGGATTTTCTCAGTGGATAAATGAAGGCAAACATCCATGAAAAAAAACCCTTTTGGCCCGTGGATTCGAGTCCTTGACCGGACCAAAATCTAGAGGAGTTAGCTCGGAAGGACGAAGAATTTAGAGGGAAGAACAAGGAGGAAGAAAAACGCAGACAGAACTGTCGGGATGGGGATTTGAAAGAAGGCTTGGAAACGCGTGTTTTGTATAATGTGGACTCGTTCTTACTTGGGCGGCCTTTGATTATTGTATTTTTATTATATTGTTGAAAAATAACGATTGCCATTGTTGATCCAAATTTTAAGTGGCATGCTTTTTGCATTCGGAGATTTTTGGATAAATCTTTTTTGTTTTAAATTTATAGAAAAAATAAGAAATTTGTAGAGGCATTATTACAACGGTCGGATTTTGAGTAATACATCTTGTCTATACGTTAAGAAAAATATATTGTCATTGCATATATGTGAGTCGAACCTATATACTCTTGAAATCAAGGCCAGACTACTAGATCCAAAGCTAATTGATTTAATTACTTTAAAGTTAAAATAATTCTTAGAAAACAAAATCATAGAATCTCGTTTTTATTTTTGGTTCAAAATCATAGTATAATTAGAAGAATCAGTCTTCAATTCTGACCAAACGGTGGTTGTCTCTCACATATTAATAAAAATTCTTGTAAGGCCTGGTAGTTGCAACACCAGACCGTCATCATCCTTAAATAATTATATTTTAATGATTAAATATGATATCCGTTTGCATGTTTTAAACAGTATTTAGGGCCTAAACATATGAAACGTAATAGGCTCCCTTCTATCTTATAGCCTGAAAAATATGTACGTTCGTAACTATCAAGATGTGATCCAATGATAAAGAATGAATTTTAGGCCTATATTCTACAAGGTACATTCTGAGTTTGATTCATGGCGCTCATAATTGCATGATAATGGACAAATGAAAGTTAAAATGTCTCAGAGAATCTTTTCGGCTCCTAGAAGGGGTAGATGACATTGGTGAAACCACCTGCTGAACTTTTTTTAAAGAAAAAAAATGTACGTACGTTCTTTATGTACCAAATATCTTCGCTATTTTGGTTTTCAAATTGGTGCTTTTCATGTTAAACAATGCATATGTGAATTTTTAATTTGGAATGCATCTTTTTCTTGGTAAGAAATGTCGATATCAGTTCCCTAATTTATATAGTGTGAAACCATTGATAAGTCGGGCATCTTTAAGTGGAGGTCAATTCTTGGAAAAGAAGGACAAATTATTATTTATTTGTCATTTTAGTTATGGATGATTTTGAAGCTGATTTTAGTGGTAGAGTATGATTCTCTTCCTTTTAAATTAATTTCTTCTTCGATCTTCTTCTATTTGAACGGTTACGATTGAGTCATGTTAGCATTTTGTGTTGATATATTTATAGAGTGAGATAGAGAAAACAAAAAGTGAGAAAGAGAGAGGAGAAAAGGGAGGGGACTCTTATTTGAATCCTCACGATAAAGCTAGTCAACATCTCGTGTTGACATCTTTATAAGAAGAGAAAGACATAAAAAAAAGTGAGAAAGAAGAAAAGGAAAGGAAGAAAATCCTACCCGGTCAATGTCGTTGTTGGTAAAGAGCAAAAGTCATGCAATCTTGTCAGTAAAGTTTGACATTTAGCCATGTAGTTTGGTCTTTGGTGCTTACCAATGATCTAAACACTTCAAAATAAATTAAAAGCATAATGTGGAAAATACTTGACTTTAACGTAGAGCCGTTACTTTTCTAAAGCCAATTACTCTCCGTTCGAGGACTTTTTAGTAGGAAACATTTTTGTTCTTAAACTCTTTTGTGACAAGTGTTTAGAAACAAGTTGAACTTTTATTAAAATTCCAAATGCTTTCTTGCAAATTACTAAAAAGTGCTTTCCAAATAAGTATTTCAGTTTTTTTCCTCTAAAAACATTTTTAAGACCAATAAACATTTAACCTTTTTTATCGAGCACAATTAGAAGTAATACTAAACCAATCCGAACTTGTTAAACACTTTTCACACCAAAATACAGATCGGAAAACCGAGGGAAACAAACACATACACAAGGGTAAATGAACAAGCGTAATGATTGAAGTTCCATACCAATTTAGAGCCTAGACAAGCGAAAGGAGTCGTTGAGTGGTACATGTACTACATATGGCCCCCCAATTTTTGGAGTCTTTGGAGTTGGTTTAATATTCTGCCTACAACGGTAAAAAATGGTCCCATGCGATGCGATGCGATGCGTCCTACCCCAACTACCCTGGTTTCCCTTAGACTAGGACACCCTGAATCTTCCTGCCCTTTAGGCAAAGGTAGATATGTTGTCACTAACAAGGGAGACTTGACATCTCAGCTTATCAGTTAGCTCGCTCATCTACATTTCTACTCTACAATTTTCTTCAATTTCGATCCTGTTGATTATTGAGGGTTCAATTTTAGGTTTGAACTAGAAAATGTGCCCGCGCGTTGCTGCGGGACTTGAATGCATCACCTTCAACTGCATGAATAAGATACATTTTACCTGAATAAATTCAACACAATCATAAATGAAGAGAGGGATAGATAAGTGAATGAAGTCGGTAAGATATGCAGCTTCGTTTTTATATATATTCAACTGAGCTGATATGAAAAGACATTGTACAATGAATAGGACAAAACTGAACGTTTTGGTTCCCTAGCCTGAAACCCCTTGTCTCAGACACCAAACACCTCTCTCCCTCAGAAGATTGAGACTACTTTTCATATTTTCATTTTAATGTACCAGCAAGGAAACGATAGTATATTCCAAAATCAACAGTTTACAGAGAAATATAAATATTGTTTTCAAGGAATTAATATGATTGCAAATTTAATAGCTCCATACATAGTCAGGTAGGATAAATGATGGAAGACGCACTGAAATTTGAGGTCCATAGGTTGAGAAGAGTCCATAGCATTGATCCATATATGGATAGCTTGCACAGATCTACAATTCAAGCTCCGAACAAAGTATCAATTTATCAGCAATTGTGACATTCATTATTCCTAAAAAAGTTATTGATTCACAAATAAACAAATAAAAGTAATCGGAAAAGAAACGCTTACCACATGCTAGCTGAATCCGAACTCAAAATGACCACGATATTATCCCAGCAATGATCACAAAGAGATTGCTGCCGGGGACTTCAGTCCATCCCCTGAAAACAATGGAATAATATATCCATTAAAAAACGTCACAAAAAGATTTACGGTCACTGCCCAACTATTATAATTATATGGTTCTATTGGCACATTCAGAATTCAAAATAAAATCTGGCAGTTGTTTGCACTTGTAAAAAATTTCTCTTTACAAAACTACATAAATTGTAATGACCCAAGAAATCAAAATTTGATTAGGCATTAGAAACAATGTTACCTTTTGGAGAAAAGGATGCTCAACCAAACGGAAGCCCAAATTTAAAACAGCAACTGAATGAGAATCTGACGTTATAAAATCCATAAGAAGCGTGTAGTGCGTCTAATTTAAAAAGTCTCTCACACATATGTAATTGCATGTAGCGCACCAGATTTATAAAAATAAAAAATAAAAAATAAAAATTAAACCTTGATACCAAAGGACTGCAAAGGATTGCTTTGTCATAGAAAGTAAAAGAATAAATTGAATCAACCGAACATGCTTCTTGCCAACCAACAAAGTAAAACACAGGGCAACAAAATCACAAATCAACATAGGCATCTCTTAAGAATTTAAATAACCAAGAATTCAATGAACTGATTGTAATCATTTGTGCATAAATGTGTCACTATTTACATAAAACACTTGAAGGACAATCAGTTTAGAGTTTCAAAATATAAAATATTAAAATTTCCATAAAAGATAAGCATTGGGAAACAAAGTTGGCATCTCACCTTCCACAATAGGTCAACAAATCCTTTGATTACGCTTTAGCTTCTTGTTAAACTGAAAACACAAATTCATTGTTCAGAATATCATAATTTCATGGAATGGTTCACCTTTGAATCAAGAACTGCCTTGTTTTATGTATGGTACTGATAATCAACTCATAATATTGGATCTCAATTTATTTCAAACTTTTATGCATTTTTTACTATTCTAGGATCCATTTAGGCAATCTCTTAGACCATTAGTTTGTTCCATTTGACTAAAATTAAAAACAGCACATCCGCTTGCTGCTTAGTGACTTGATAAGCCAGTCACAAAGATAACATGTAGAATGCAAATATGGATCAGGAAAAAACAACAGCTATAGAATTGATTATATAGAAGAAGAATACATACTTATTGTGAGGTTATCCCAGCTATACAGTATGACCCAATATATATAGCAAGTAAAAACTATGGTAGCAAAGATCTCACGTATATAAATCTTACATAAACTTTGTTTTTGTACAGTGTCTTCTCCCTTCAATGGCAGTTTGTTTCTTATCCAGAAAAATAAAATGAGCAGGTTAACGATACTCACATGTGCAAAATGCTAATCCTATGGTCTAAAGTTAACTGAGTTTTTTAGTGTAAAATCCCTAATTTCACTGCATTTCGATTGATCACAGTTCGTGACTTGTTAAACTTGATATATCCTTAGACATTTTGGGAACTTGATAGCTTAAATTTTCTTTAGTCACAGATGTGCTCATAAAAGCAAATTACAGCGACCCAATCTATACTAAAAACTTGGAGAAGGGACTCAATTAGTCAACGAACAGGTGCCTCACCTTTCATGTTAAAGACCAAAGAGAGAAAACCAAGCCGAACTCTTCAAAATTCGTTGGCACACATGCATCATCGGCTCAATTGAATGTATAATGCATACTTAGATACAACCATTCAAACAATTGTTATAGATTGACATAAGCATCCAAACTTCAAAAAAATTGAAACCTTAAAAAAAGCAAAACCTTTTTTCCTTCATATTTGAACTGTTTCAATTAGTTTATCTCTCTATCACTTGATTCATTATTTCTAAAGCAAGTTCTAATCACTACCAAAACAGCTTAATAACAGTTGATTATCTCTAAAAAAAAAAAGAGGGAAAATATGAAATACGAACTGTACTCAAAATCCCAAATGCTTAACACATGGTTCTAATCTAAACCCTGATTCTAAAATTTAGAATTCGACACAAAAATGAAAATTGGAATGATTAGCATGGAAATGAGAGAGGGAGAAGGTATTCCTTACCAACGACGATGAAATCCAACTACCATTTCAAGCTCCCTCAATCACAACCTGTAGGAAAATATCAAGCCCAAACATAAGTTCACTAAAATCCGAATTCAATAAAATCAAACACAAACAAAATACCAAAATTATAAATAAATAAAAAACTAAACTAAACTATAAATTAAAACTTTCAACTGAATACCGCAGAATTTAAATTACTTACCAGTAACAGATTTCTCTGAGTAATCAACTTCTCGATTATGGTCATCGAACACAACATTCTCCAAAACTGCCAAACACATGCAACCATACTTGATAAGAATTTGAAATATCACTCCAATCATGGCACAAAACATAAACATTTCACGCTAACTGTCATTTTTAAAGTAGAATGTTCAATTAAATCATGATGTTAAGTACCAGTCCCAAATTTGATAGCATTCCAAATATCTGGTTCCCAGTTCTTTGACAAATCAATGCACTTGGCATAGCAACCACCTTCAATGTTTGACACACCATTGTTGCTCCAGCAGTGCTCATCAAATCCAATTAGATACCGATTATGATCCGTAGACAGAGTCGTCTTCCCAGTGCCTACAACAAACATCCCACGATCAGTTACACAAACACAAAAGATTGATGTATCATCGCCAATTGATCATTGCACACATAAAATTATCATGATTCATACCTCTGCGTCGATATGGAATTTTATAAACTGGTCAAATGGAACTCGATTTCATTGACTTCACGGTGCAAGTGCTGTAAAAAATAAGCAAACACTGGCAATATGATCAAGCACATTCCAAGTATTAATACATCTAAATAAAACCTAACATTCATATGCGAATAATAATGAAGGTAGAGATTACTTGCAGAAGAGATGATTGCAATTGAGTGAATCCGCAGAACTCAGTAGATTCAAACTGCAAAACAGATGGGGAAAAATCAAACCCATTAACAGAGTGAAGAGAAATTTTAAATCTTTAAACGAATTCTAGACAAAATCATGTAAAGGGTCTGTTTTGGCTACCGAGAAACTTAGTATACATTTGAATATTATAACATTTTAATACAAAAATTTAGCTTTATTCAAATGGGAGAGATCAAAGGTTGCATCATTTAGCTTCACACATGGCCACAACACAATTTCAAAAACTCTGTCATCTTAAAGTCACATTCTTTATCAAACTCCCACTCTGGAATCGAACAGAGGTTGATAACGGACAAAAAGAAATACAAAGTACGAAATATAATCAATATCATCAGTCAAAACTTGGTGCAAAGGGTGAGGAGTCAACCATCTGACTTTTTTCCCCTTAACCTCTGCCTGCACGGACAAACAACGGAAGAATTCATACCCAAATAACACTAACATAAAATGCACAGTTGAAGATTCGATAAGCAGTGTACAGTACATAACCAAACCTGATAATATATGCCTTCAACAGATACAAAGACTTTACGCAATTTATGAGTCCAAGATATGTAAGCTTGCCATTCATGACTCAACCTGGTACGAAAGCAACACCAATATTAAGGGAAGATTCCACGAAACGATTAACTCCTAGAAGTAACTAAGCATCGTTTCATACTTCAGAACTCCTTTTTTTAGAAAAATTCAAATATACCTTCGACAGTTATGAATGCATTTGACATTAATTCTGTCCTCAATAGCTGAGGCAGTCATCTATATCTCTAAGTGCATCAACGAATTTTGGATATCTGCAGTTCCAAACATACCAAACAACAACTGTCAGAGGCTTTACATACAATAACAGACACGCAACTAATTTTTTAACAGTAAGAAAAACCCAACAAACCTCTGCAAAATAATTCCATCTAATTTGTAAGTGGGTCTTCTTTCTTTCAGGAGAGCAGCTCATTCCTTGTTCTTCTTCGCATCGGCTCTCTTTACTTTTCTTTCGTATGCTCTTATCCCTCTCAACTGCTCGAGTAGCGGTTCATGCTGAATGAAAGAAACATCCTTCAAGTGATAATAGGTATGGTGATTTCCTTTCACCTTTTTCTTCAGCTCCCAAGGGAACACGCCCTTTAGAATACACAATTTCCTATAATTTCCAACAACATGCACATATATTAAGCAATCATACAATAATTTAACCGATAAATCCAAATAATGCATAAACCCTAAACCCTAGATTAACATAAATTACATAAATCATGTGAAAATACAGAAATTACAACTTGAATACCAGAGACAGACCTGAAGAGGGGAAGACTGACTTGAAGCTGCTTGACAACTTGTGACCTGGTGACGTACCTCACGGCATTTCCTTCCTTCTTCTTTCCCTGCAAATTCGAGGGACAATCAACTGGAAGTGTGAGAAAATGGTGAAATTAAATATTGGTAATTGTTCTTTTAATACTTATGTATATAGGAGAGCTTATCGGAGACGGAGGAGGTGACCTAGAATTTACTGCAGGCCTGTAATGCTTATGCTTCAACGGGGCCTCGATTTACAGATAGAGGCTTGGCCCGATTGAAACGAAGCACAGCCTCTCTCCCCCTTGAAATCTGAAATCCCCACCCAAAAAACCACGCACGGGCCTTCCTGACGTGAACGGTGGAGTAAGACGACATAGGTGAGAGAAGAGATCGGCAAGGGATCTGAGGGAAATTACAGAGTGAGAAAATTTTTCTTCGGATTTTTATTGTGTCATTTGAGTGGCTGAAAGAGGACTACAACAATCAAATATAGTGAAAGAATAATTAAGGGCAAGCTGATTGTATGATTAAAGAAATCTCATACCTTCCATAAAAAAATCAAAGCGAAAACCAGGAAGAGATTGATACCTTACCGAACGTTGGGGGTAGCCCAAGTTGATCGAAATGGACGAAACCTTGCTCGACCTCTGTCTCTGTCCACATGAGAAAACAACATCACCCAAAAGGTCAGAGATTTCCAAAACCAAAAGGAAATTAAGAGAGAGAAACGGAGGAGAGTGAGAGAGAGAGAGAGAGAGATCGGAGTACCGTTAGTTAAGTCGTGGACGGCATCGGTTCTCCGACCACTGTAATCCCTGAAGATCTCTTCGGCCGTTCGCCGACTCGAGCCCATCTCCCTGCTCCTCTCCTTCATCTCACTGAAGCTCTCGAGCTACAGAAATGAAGGTCAGACCCTGCCATTCGTCCCTGAGGCATCCCCTCCTCACCGACTCTGTGCGTAACCTGTCAACCCTAAAGAATACATACACCCATGCTTTCCGCTCTGTATCTCTCTCCCTGTCCATCTCTCTCTCTAAAATGAGAGAAAATCCCATAGATCCTGGCAGAGGAGCTAGCAAAATCTTTCTCTCACTCAGTCCAAATTCGTAGCTCCCATCCGTCTCCAATCTGTCAGGCCCTGTGTCTCCCTCCTCTGTAGTCGCTCTGTCCCCCTCTCTCTCCCCGAGTCAAAGCTGAAATGCAGGCCCTGTGTCTCCCTGCTCTGTAGTCGCTCTGTCCCCTCTCTCCGCTCGACACAGCGACACCCAGCTGTTTCCAAGTCAAAAATGGGAGTCATCGTCTCTCTCCAATTGTCAGCCGTGATATCCCCCTCCCCTCTCTCCCCGAGCCAAAAGCTGAAATGCAGCGAACGGTTGAAAATCAGTTCTTAAGCCTGAGTGGCAATTGTGTAAATAAAACAAAAGTGTGTTTAAAGCAACCGAGTGGCAATCCTGTAAATAAAGTGAAATTCGGCCCAAAACACTGTTCATTTCTACAGTGCAATTTTGCCAGCTTCTTTAGACTAAAGTAATTATCAAATTGTAGGCGGTGAAGCGATTAACCATTGATGCTAGAAAGTATAATTTCTAAATTTACGATTCTACATCCTAAAACAATTAACCATATCAATAAATGAATTGAAAGTTTTAATAAATTCTGAAGAAGTTGAAGCTTCCAGGCTTGTCCCATCGCATCAACACTAGTCACCGGCAATATAAGCTTCCAGGCTTCCAGCCCAGTGGAGGAAGAAATCGTTGCTTTTCCGCCGTTAATTCAAACGTGCCACACGGAGTCTTCCAAAACATGGACATGGATGTCATTCTGGGTCGTCGTCACCTTTGGTGATTACAAAACCGATATGCGCTTTTGACAAGGGAAGAAAAGCAAGGAATGCCTGTCGTAGTAATATTGGTGGGTGCGCCTGGAACCGGCAAGTCCACCTTCTGCAAAATCTGTAGGATAGTGGCATTTGTCCTATGTTAAACCAAAACATGGTGCTATAGAATTATGCTGAATTAGAGTTTTGCATCTGTTACCCCTACAGTTAAAATGTAAAGCTTGATATGTTTTCTTCAGTGTTACAATATTTACTCTAAATTAGTACGAAAAAAAATGTGATTATATGTTTTACATATAAAGTAGATTGAAGTTCTTCCAAAAAAAAAAAAAAAAAAAAAAAAAGTAGATTGAAAACAAATAAATATTCTGGTGCAGGCCCTCTTAAACAAATAAATGCTGCAATCTTCAGAGCTGGAGGTCCCGCTCTGGAGGTTGCAACCAGTTGCAAAGAACAAGCCCAATCTCATGTTGTGGGACCCAACATGAACCCACACTGACCAAATTGTCTGAACAATGACTAGAGTAGAGGCTGCAAAGTTCTCCGGGAGGCTTACACTTTCACTTTTTGAAGGCCTCTAGAAATCATTTTGCAAACAGCGATCAAAAGACTAAGATAGAGGATCCTCATACATCTGAGAGAAGCAGAAGAAGTAAAGGGTATCAGTTCGATACTGAAGATTCTAACACTAGGAAACCAAACCTGAGCACTAAGTCCGATGGAATCACGACGAAATCCTGAGGGTCATGGGCTCATGCTCTCTACAACACTGCTGAATGATCTTTATCCAAAGGTGAATTAAATTATTACTTTAGTCTAAAGAAGGATCTCAAATTGCACTGTTCAAATGAATAGTGTTTGGGTCCGAATTTCATTTTATTTACGGCCATGCCATTGCTTCAAAGAATGGGCTTTGTCGGTTTGGGCTCTGTTTTGGTTGGCTTGAATTGCTTTTGGCGGATGGGGATGGGGTTTGGGCACCGAATCACGCACAGGGAGCAGGGGTGACCTGCAGATTGGAGAGAGAGAGGAGGGGCTGTGAATTTTGACTCGGGGAGAGATGGCTGTGCTTCGGTCGGAGCGTCATTTGGTGGGGGGGGGGGGGGTGGGGGAGGAGGACAGAGGGACTGACATATTGGAGAGAGATGGGAGCTAGGGGTTTCGACTCAGTGAGAGAGAGATTTAGCTAGGTCCTCTGCCAGGACCTATGGGATTTCCTCCGATTTTAGAGAGAGAGAGAGAGAGAGAGAGAGAGAGATAGAGGGGGAGAGAGGGAGTGGGGAAGGCATGGTGTGTGCACTTTGTGGGGTTAGCCGGTCAAGAAGGGACCGAGGGAGGTATGGGAGAGTTTGATTTTTCGGTTTCCTCCCTTGATTCAAAAGGTAATGCACTGTTTTTAATCAATTGTTTAGTGCCAATTCAACTTTATTTTTTAGTTTATTGTTTATAATTCATTGTTTACCGTTTGATTTGCCATCTGCTTTCTTCAAATTGCCATAGATACTTTTTTCCTTCATTAAAGTTGTCATAGATTTTTTAGATTGTTTAATTCATCAGCAGTTTATTGTTTATCCTGGTGGAAAAGTCCAGTCTTGGTGTGTCCTCTGACTCAAATTTGGAAATGGTTTCTGGACTGTTTAGTTTGTTGAACAACATCCTTTCCTACTTTCTAAAGCTCATTTTCTTTATTTTAGTTTTCATTCTCTGTGTCTGTGGTTCTGGGTTCTTGACTGTTTAGTTTTTATTCACATTTAGTGCATATAAGTCCCTTTCGTAAGAGGGATCTATTTTGATAAGAAACAAGACCTTACAACTGTCTCTGTACCATGTCACATATATTAATAGGATGCTTAGGTAATTGTAGGGGAAGTTATGCATGCATTCTTTCGGAAATCCTTTCCCAGAACCTGTAGTGATCCTGATATGAGTCTAAGTCTGCCTTGGTCTAGCTCAACATGGAAACGTTATGGAATATCTTCTTTATAAGCGTTTCTAGGCTCTAGCCTCCTCTTTTTGAGCAGACTTATCTAATATATAACAAAGCATGTTCTACTAGAGCTCAAATCAAACAAAGAGAGGGAAAATCAAAATACACCAGAAATAAAAGATCAAAAAAACTTAATTTATTAGGATGTATGGAGGAAAGGTTTTAGTCATTTTAAAATTGGGTTAAATTAACAATGTTATATAGTGATACTAATTTGATGCTTGCTTGCCCTGCAATCAACTCAGTGTTTAAGGATTATGTATGTTTCCCACTTCCCAGGTCTAATTCGATCGCATGCATGTAACAATAGTTAAATTTGGGGACTGGACAATTAACTAATCATAATTTATTTATTGTGTGTAATTACCTCCATAAGTGCGTGGTTACAAGTTGACCCTTTTCTTTGTTTTTTCTCGTTGAAGCTTTCCAGGGCTTCTTTGTATTGTTTTTCCTGTTTGTTGACAAATAAGATCATGTTTATTTTTCTTCTAATTTTCGAGTATATATGCATAAAATGTCAGTGGAGTCGATGCAGGCTCGAATGACAAACCTCACACAGAGTCACTCACATAGAGTCTGAAAATCTAATAAACTCTAATATGATTTTCTGTTTGATTGATGAATGAGGAGTGTGAGTGCAAATTCTAGGTTATGGGGAAGCATTAGTATTTGGAGGCACGAATTCTTTTCTACCATTATTTCAAATGTTCTCTAACTTATAGCATTAATAATCTGTTTAACTACATGATTCCCCATGTACCTAATTTTCCACTGCTGTTATTTATAATTGGAGTAGAGATTTTTAAAATTAGATTTAGACCTACTATAATTAACAACTCATGCAAAAATTATTTAATTAAGCACCAATTTTTTTGTCCTATATGTCTTAGTAGGACAACCAAGACATCACATATAGAGAAGTGGAAAGGAGAATGCCAACTGGTAGGCTGGAGAGCAGAGTCATTTTCTGTATAAGTTTTCTGTCACCAAATCTAGGTTGGAGAGCATGATCATTTTCTGTTTGCACATCACAATGTTTGTTTTGAGTACTTGTCATGCCATCGAGGCACAAATGTTCTTCCTGCATTAGTTAATTTTTTCCTTTGTATCCAAAGGTATTAAAGTAATTGTGATTGAAGTTTGTTTATGTCTGCTTTCCGAGATATATTTTTTGGTTACTAGATGTTTTACTCCGTTTATGAGTGCTTTTTAGTTAACTGAAAGAACGCTTTTCATTCTTCTGTTTTCAGGACTTCATTTCCTATTTACAAGTCAACTCCACAATACCAAAGTACAAGAGAAGCGAAGATTTGAGGTAATTTTTGCTCTAACTTCTTTGGATTTTATATTATGGGTTAATTATCAACCGGTTTTTGTTACTATATTTAGAATTGTAATTTGGTACCACTGCTGCCACCTGCCACTTGAGTTTTCATATCCTAATGACACAAAATGGTAATTTTAAATTCTAGGTTATGGGTAAGCATTATTATTTGGGGACACAAATTGTTTTCAGCCACTGAACCAAGTTCAAAATATTTTTTCGCGTAGCTTAAATTAATCTAAAATATCATTAGAATACCAAAAAAAAAAAAAAAAAAAAAAAAAAAAAAACTTGGTTCTCTTTATCTCATTGTTTCTTGGGTAGTTTTCTAGAATTGAGGCTGAAAGGTTGCACCACTTCTTTACTCCATATATGTGCACATCCTAATAATCTTTAGACTAAATAAAGCAAAGAAACATCATGATATTGCTAATGGATTTTCTATGTTTTGGAATTTCAGGAATTTCGATTGTTGGAGGGAGAAGTTGGTTCCTTGGCATTTTCAGGTATATAATTATGTACGCTGTTTTTATTCAAGCCCTATTTTAAATGTATGATTGGTTTGTGTGAAATGAATGAAAAAGAGAGTTAGAATACCCTGTTTTGGATTTTGAAAAAGAGAGTTAGAAATGTATAAGGATGTCCATTTTATATACCCTGTTTTGGATCACTGTGTGTGTTATTTGAAAAGGGGAGACATGAATGATCAGGGTGTGTGTGTGTTATTTGTTCAAGGAGACATCTGACATCCTTATTTGGATTTTCTCGCAAGCCTATTTTATATACTCTGTTTTTATTCAAAAGCTGCTGTCGTTTGAATATGATTCGTTAAAACGTGCTATCATCAACAATTTGCATGGAAAACATATTTCACTTTGTTTTCTTCACTCAAGGTGCTTTTCAACGCTGTTTCTAAGCTATTATTTTTGTTACCATTCTGTAAGTTAGTGCTAATGGATTTGCTATGCTTGCGATTTTCAGAAATTTGGATCGTTGGAGGGAGCACTTGGCCTTTTGGCTTTTGAGGTATATTTATTTACTGTGATTTTGTGACTCTGTTGTTACATTTTATTCATGCACGTTGGGACTAGATTTGGCTATATAATTGTGGCATCCTTTGACTATGTATAGCTATGATAACGGTGGAATGTGTAATTGCTATCTCTTAAGTTGGTATAATGTTAATGGTTTGCAGATGCTTAGCAGACTATCTGAAACTGCTTAAATTTTATATTTTGAGTTGCATAAATTCCACTAACATACACAACCAGAGTCAGATTGCCACCCGTAGTTGGTGGTATTGTCTTTGCAATGGTTTTAAAGTGGGGATTTAGAAAATCTAATAATAAAACTGAATTATATGTTCCATGCTTTTCGTTTTCATTTTGGGTTAAAAGGCTGGAGCTTTGGATTGGGATTTTCCTTTATTAAACTATAATTTTGTGCTTAGGAGGCTATATGAAACTGCTTAATTATTATTATTATTATTATTATTTTTTTTTTTTGAAACAGGAACTTTTTTCTCACTGTAATCTGTTTTGTTAAAGGTAATGATAAAGACTTATCAATTTAGTTTGTTCGAGAGGTTTATGATCAGAACCCTGATGAGACCTTCAGTGTGAAAGCCTTTTGGTTTCATAAGTCACAAAAAAATCGAATACCACCAAATGAATAAAAATCTGGCCGTATATGCATTGATGAGACTTTAAGGAGGTTACGATATGTTTCCCAATTATTAAACAAACCGAGATAGCTTAACAAGTTAAGTCCGATATCAGGCTCAATTGTAGGTTGCCTTTAATTATTATATCTTTGTAAGAAACATTAGCTTATATGTGCACTAAGTAAACTAAGATCATCTATTATAAGTTTCCCAATGTCTTCGATCTCTTTACAGTGTGTGTTATTTGTGTCTGATTGGTGTTTCCCCTATATTTCCCTATGTTTTCCATCTCTTTATACGTGCACTAATTAATTTGATCAGTGTATGTATTATTTGTGTCTAATTGGTGTTGGGTGTTTTCCAATTTGGGGTCTTTATTTACTTAACGCTTTTTAGCCAAAATGGTCCTTGAGATTTGCATAACACATCACTTTGGTCCATGAGATTGAAAATCAATAGAAATGGTCCCTAAGATTGTCCACCATCTATTATTTTGGTCATTCCTTTAAAAGCTCCGTTAAGTGTCCCGAAGCTCTTGGCCGGAAGTTTGGGCAATTTTCAAAGCTTCGTAACTCAATCGTTTCTTAACCAAATTCGACACATAATATATCAAAATGAAATAGGAAAGTGTAGAAGAAGATTATACCTATTTGGAAGCCCAATGGTTGCAGGAGATGGCCAGAAAATAGCCTGAAAGATGATTGGTCAGCGGGCAAACTGGAAAACTTGCTGGAAACTGGGTAAATTTTAAACGTTCATAACTTATTCAATACTCAACGAAATCGAGTGATTCAAAAACGGAAATCATACTTCTTGACGTAACGAAGAGAATGGTACCTTTCTTGACGGCTAATTCGTCGTGGTTTGATCGGAAAATGGCTCGAAAATGGCTAACTCAGACAGCCACTTTCGAGTCGTTTTCCGGTCAAACCACAGTGATTTAGCCGTCAAGAAATGTGCCATTCTCTTCGTCTCGTCAAGAAGTATGATTTTCGTTTTTGAATCAGTTGATTTCGTTGAGCATTGAAGAAGTTATGAACGTTTAAAGTTTACCCAGTTTTCCAGTTTTTCAGTTTTTCCGCGGACTAGTCACCTTTCAGGCTATTTTCCGATTATCTCCCGCAACAATTGGGCTTCCCAATAAGTATAATCTTGCTCTACACCTTACTATCTTCATTTTGATATATTATAGGTCGAATTTGGTTAAGAAACGATTGAGTTACGAAGTTTTTTAAATTGCTCAAACTTTCAGTCAAGAGTTCCGGGACACTTAACGGAATGACCAAAATAATGGATAATGGACAATCTCAGGGACTTCTATTGATTTTCAATCTCACGGACCAAAGTGATGTGTTATGCAAATCTCAGGGACCATTTTGGCTAAAAAGCCTTTACTTAATGTGCAATCCAGGGTCTTATTTGGTTGGAGAGAACATAATGTTTGACAAGATGATATCCAATCTGATTTTGTAGATATGCTGAATAAGTAAGGACTGTTTGCTGATTTAGTTGAATATCGAGTATCTTGGGAGTGTCTTTTGTTAGTAGATGATTAATTGTAGATGTAATGCCCCTTAGTAGAAGGAAATTAAGGTGCATTAACAAGAAAAATCAAGATAATGTGTGCACAAGTGGATTCGTATTTTTGCTGTCAGTTGGTGTCCAACATGATGCAAGCATAATTTGAAGTGTGTAATATCTTTTGAAATGTATATAAAAACCAAGTTGCTTATCTTACCGACTTCGTTCACTCATCTATTCCGCTGTTCATTCAAGATTATGTTTAATTTATTCATGTTAAATTGTCTTATTCATGCAGTTAAGGCTGGTGTATTCAAGTTCCGCAGCAAAGCGCGGGTATATTTTCTAGTATTATACTATGATCTGCATATAAAAAAGACTGCGAGCTTGAGGACTATTTTTGTAGAAAACATTTTTGTTCTTAAAACACTTTTGCTAGAAGTGTTTTTATTAGAAACAAGTTAAACTTAAATAAAACTCCAAGTGCTTTCTTACAAAATACTAGAAGAGTGCCTTTCAAATAAGTACAAGTTTTTTCTCCAAAAATGCTTTTAAGACCAATAAACACCAACATTTTTTACCGAGCACAATCAGAAGCAATACGAGACCTGCCCGAACTCGTAAAACAGTGTTCACACCAAAATATAGGTCAAAAAATCGAGGGAAACAAACACATACACAAAGGTAAATGAACAAGGTTAATGATTGGAGTTCCATACCAATTTAGAGTCTAGACAAGCAAGGGGAGTCGTTGAGTGGTACATGTACTACGTATGGCCCCCCAGTTTTGGTTGGAGTCTTTGGAGTTGGATTAAAATTCTGCCTTCAACGGCCAAAAATATGGTCCCATGCGTCGTACCCCCAACTACCCTGGTTTCCCTTAAACTAGGACACCCTGAATCTTCCTGCCCTTTAGGCAAAGGTAGGTATGTTGTCACTAACACGGGAGACTTGAAATCTCATTAGCTTATCGGTTAGCTCACTCATCTACATGTCTGCTCTGACGTTCTACAATTTTCTTCAATTTATCCGGCTGATTATTGAGGGTTCGATTTTAGGTTTGAACTGTCAAAATATGGGTGGTGAAGCGATTAGCCGTTGATGCTAGAAAGTATAATTTCTAAATTTATGGTTCTACATCCTAAAACAATCGACCATGTCAACAAATGAGATCAAAGTTCTAATAAATTCTGAAGAAGTTGAAGCTTCACAAGAACGAAAACTGAAACTTCACATTCATGATTCATCCAAACTTTACAAGAATGAAAACTGAAAGAAGTGTTCTGTTTTAAACTATCTTAGTTCACACCAAACATTAAAATTACATGACAATATTCGACAAATAGAGCAAGCCAGCCACAAGCTAATATATTCCAAACTAACTGCATTTATCTTTCTAAGAACAAGATCAGCTCGTCAATATCATCAGACGGCTTCTTATTTGCTAGGTAATGAAAATTTGAAACAAGAAATATATGGTTTTGGTCAAGCCAAGCATAATTGAGTGAGAGTTTCAACATCTCCAAAATCTATTAATGTAAACGTCTTCCTCTGTAACCGCTGCGTTTATCCAGACAAGGGAATATCTTGAAGAAGATGTTCTCCACAGTTTTGTAATACCATATCCTCCATCGCTTACAGAAAACGAGAGGCCCGATGAAAGCTCCAAGGCCAAAGATAAATCCAATCTCGGCAATTATAAGATCAAAATCAATTTTAGGTTGAGCATTAGAATGACCTTTTTTCGGTGGTGGTGGTAGTGGCAGTCCTGAGGGGATATAACCTGTCAAAGGAGGCCCCCACAACCCTTCATTGCCTGCAAAGGAAGCTGCTGGAAATGTCGAAAACTGAGTGCTGGTTGGGATCCTTCCAGTCAGTTCATTGTTTGAGAGATTCAAGAATGAAAGGAACGTGAGCTTTGTGAGCTGTGATGGAATTTTCCCGCTCAAGCTGTTGTTCGACAAGTCTAAGGACTCAACGTGTCGTAAGTTTCCCAAAGATGATGGGATTTCACCTGTTAGAGCATTACTAGACAAGTTGAGGACATAGAGCGATTTGAGTTCTCCTATTTCCACAGGTATTGATCCGGTGAATTTGTTCCCCGAGAAGTCAATTGAGGTGAAGATAGTTAAAATCTTCACCAGCTCCATCTCTAGACCTTTGGTGGTAACAAATACTTTATCATTGTAATATATCTGAGAGAAATATAGGACCCGAAATTGGATATGGTTGAGCTGTGACCGGCTAGCACCTTCGTCAGCCATCATCGCCTGCCAGGTTTTCAAGCATCTTCCAAGTATTTGACCACTAAAATTGTTGTGAGCTAGGTCAATAATTTGAAGCATTGGCCAGCTGCCATAGGCCTTAGGACATCCATTGCGCCCATAAAATTTGTTCGATCGCAAAACAAGGACACGCAATCGGGACATTTTGATTAACGAGCGTGGAAAAGTACCACTGATCTGATTGTTTCCAAGGTTCAACACCTCTAGCAGCTTGCAATTTCCCAGAGATTCTGGAAATTTGCCTCCTATCTGATTTCCATTCATGTCTAGTGTTTTCAAACTACAATCTCGAGGAAATTTATCAGGAATAGCACCAGTAAGGTTGTTTGTCCTTAAATTAAGTACTCCAAATGGCCTGCTCCTTGCAGTTAAGCACTGGGGAATCATGCCACTTAAGGAATTATTGGACAGATCAAGAACTTGAAGAGATGTTGCCTTGCATATTGATTCTGGAATGATCCCGTGGAAGTTATTGCTTGCAAGAGAGAAAAACATAGTGGACATAAGGAAATCACCAATATCTGTCGGTATGCTTGAGCTGAAATTATTTCTTGAGTAATCCAGATAACTGGCAAATGGTGGAAGCATTGGAATTGGTCCTTGAAGTTGGTTGGAATGAAGGTCAAGCACAAGCAAATAGGAAGGAAGATTGAGGAAATGACCTTCTAGAGTTACCAGAGAGTTGCAAGAAAGATTTAGTTGAACAAGATTACTGAGCCTCCAAATCCAGTTGGGTATCTCACCATGAATCTGGTTTTGTGATAGGTCCAAAGTGCTTAATGTTGATTGATTTCTCAAGAAACCTGGGATTCTGCTCAAATTGCCAGAAGCTAACTTCAAATTGGTAATTTTTGGAAATGAAGAATGAGAGGAATTGGTGTCGTTGTAATTAATAGACAAGCTATTGAATGAAAGTTCAAGACTCGAAAGATTTCTTAGCTGCTGAATATCATTTAGAAGGAAAGAACCAGTGAAGTTGTTTGAAGAAAGTGAAAGAATTTTAAGCCCTCGGAATCTCAAGATAGACATGGGAATTGACCCTTCCAATTTGTTGTAACTCAAATCGAGGGTATCCAGTAAGTACGAAGAGACATTTGAAAATTCAGGCAAATGACCAGAGAAGTGATTGTTGGAAATCTGTAGCTTTTGCAGCAAGGGAAGAGAAAACAGAGATGGTGGAATAGTCCCATCTAGTTGATTGGATCCCAAGTGGAGATTCATCAGATTAGTCAGGTTTTCCCAGTGAGTGGAATTAATCTGACCCGTTAGCTGATTGCAAGAAAGATCTATCAAGGTTAGATTCTTTGCCATACTGAAGGATGGAATTGAATCATTGAACTTGTTTGATGACAAGTCAAAATAAACCAATTGATGAAGGTCTTGTATTGACTTTGGGATTGATCCAGTGAAACTGCACCCCGAAATATATATGCTCGACAACATTTTGAGGTTGCCAATAGAGTTCGGTAGTAACCCTGAAAAGTTAGCCCCGCTTAGAACCAAGGACCGAAGAGATGCATTCTTTGGAAATTCTGGTAAGGAACCCTGAAGCTGCTTATTGCCTGATAAATCAATAGTCTGCAGTGTAGGTACCTGGAAGATCTTCTCTGGGAATGTACCATATAAGCCAAAACCTGTACCATAAAAGCCAGAATGGCATAGGTGCAAGGAAGTCAAATTTGGGAACTTTGAGAAGAACTCTGGAACTTGAATAGAGAAATCATTGTAATCTAAACGAATAACCGAGAGTGAGTGAAGCTTCAGTAATGAACTATCAATAGGGCCTGAAAGATTACAATTGGACAAGCTCAACTCCCTCAATTTTGGTAGTGAAGATGATATAGCTTGGCACCACTCGGTCCCCTGTGCTGATATATTCACACTATCAAGATAGAGTTCAACAAGCTCAGAAAAGTTCCGAATAAGCACATTCAAATTCGGCTTCTCAAGTTTCAGCAACAGAGCTCCCGAGAAATAAAAGGTAGACAAATCAAGAGTTACCAACCTCGTAAGTTGTGAAATCTCAAATGGAACCTGCCCCGCAAAGCCAGCATTCGACAAGTTCAGATTTCTCAATCCAGTTAGCTGCTTGAATTCGGAAGGAATCTGAGTGTATTTGAAGTTGTTGTAAGCCAAATTCAGGTTCTCGATTGACTTCAGACCGAAAAGAGAACTCGAATTATCAAGTCCACCACTAATCGCCTCGCTGCTCAAGTCCAGATTCGAAACACAACCCTTTTTGCAGGACACTCCTTCCCAAGAACAGTAATCCGATCCATTTTTCCACTTCACAAGTTTTTTAGATGCCGCAGGGTCAAATACGAGGCTGTTCTTCAATTGTAACAACAAAGATTGCTGATCCCTGGGACACTGGCCAGAGACAAGAAATATGTTTATGCTGAGTGAAAAGTAGTAAAAGGGTATTAAGAAAAGCCATGAAAACAGAGGAATTCTCATTGAAAGCTCAGAAAAAAAGGAAGCAGAGCAGGCTAGGATTTTCTCAATGGATACACGAAGGCAAACATCCATGAAAAAACCCTTTTGGCCCGTGGGTTCAAGTCCTTGACTGGACAAAAATCTAGCGGAGTTAGCACGGAAGGACGAAGAATTTAGAGGGAAGAACAAGGAGGAAGAAAAACTCAGAGAGAACTGTCGGGATGGGGATTTGAATGAAGACTCAGAAACGCGTGTTTTGTATAATGTGGACTCGTTTTTACTTGAGCGACCTTTGATTATTGTGTTTTTTTTTACATTGTGGAAAAAAATCGATTGCCTTGGTTGATTTAAGTGGCATGCGTTATGCATTTGGAGATTTTTGGATAAATCCTTTTGTTTTAAATTTATAGAAAACAGGAGATTTGTAGAGATATCATTACAACGGTTGGACTTTCCTGAGCTTGTTCCGTGACTTTTCTGAGCTTGGCCTTACTGAAGAATGGAACTGAACCATTGAACTTGTTCCGTGACAAGTCAAAATAAACCAATTGGTGAAGGTGTTCTGTTGACCTTGGGATTGATTCAGTGAAGTTGCACCCCGAAATATCTATGTTGGACAACATTTTGAGGTTTCCAATAGAGTTCGGAAGCAATCTTTGCAAGGAATATGTGTAAAACAAACATCCTAAAATTGAGGAAATACATCGTGCTTCTAAAGCTACTCCATACACGGTTGGGACTTGGTGCAATGGGTGAACAACCAACCCTCCACAATAGATGGAATTGGCTACCATTGCATCCGCATAAAATGAATTCCCTGCTCATAGAGAAATGGTTATGCGTTAAGGGTCTATCACCATCAGAATATAAAGGTCTCTAAGTGAGTAGAAGAGTTATGGTTTGTGATTTAGAACCAACCATGGTTACACCAGTCAAAGTCAGTCTTCTTCAGATTCCATGGCAATTGCAGTAATCAGGTCAGCCGATTATTTCTTTGTGTTTTAATTATATAACCATGCTAAGTTCTAACATGCCTCTTAGAGACGCTAAGGTTTCTACGAGATTTGCTGTTTAAATTTTCAGGAACTTGTCAAGAACATGATATTTATGGATTGCTTGACTTAGAAGTCTCCTCCCATCTATCCTGGAAAAATGAGAGGGCAGGAAAAAGGGAGTGGTGCTGCAAAGATTGCTATTTCCATTGTTCGTATACTCTTGTGGGGCTTAAAACGTAGGTTGTTTTATTCAATATTGACTGACTATTATGGAGAAGAGAGGGTAAAAGTTCGCCCCTGCAGAGGAGCTAAAACTTCACGAAATGTTGTGTATACCACACGTTTAGATACGTTCATTATACTCCCATTTCATATGAGAGTTTGTTTGGAAATGCTTTTAAAAATGATTGAAAACGCTTTTAAAGAAAATGTTTTTGGGTTCTAAAAGCACTTGAAGTGCTTTTTGGAAGAAGCACCACTTCAAGCGTTTTTCCGATATTCACTTGTGTTTTTGCTAAAGATTGATTCAAAAAAATATTTTTAGTAAAAGCGCTTTCAGTTTTTTTAAAAGCACTTTCAAATTATGTCCAAGTGTCTTTTACAAGGCTATAGGTGGGGTAATGAATGAAATCATGTTTTATTCTACATGTGGAGTAAAGCTTTTCATGATAACCATTTCATTTTTAGACACTTATAAATCCAATTCGACGCTGATAAGATCTCAGTTATCTCATGACGATGTCCAGAATTTGGAAGGCGTCCATTCAATGTTGGCGCTGATGACAATTATGCCTTGTTATCCACTGTTAAAACGTGGACTCCATAATCCTTTGTTTCTTGAGAAGGAAGCTATTGGAGATGTTGAAAGCTGAGTACCGATGAGCTGATTATTTGAGAGATTCAAAGAGCAAAAGGAAAGTAACTTTTGCACTCTGGTGGAACTCGACATGTCCAAGGATTTAACATGCTGTAGGTCACCGGAATACGAAGGGATTCCCCCGCTCAGCTTGTATTGATGCGGTGCCGGCTTTAATGTTGTGGAAAATATCTCCATCAGATTTGTCGTTTAGCTTGACTAGGAAGTCTTCATCCAGAAAAATCAAAGCTAAAACAGAGTAAATGGTCATGATATCAAACAGAGACAGTCAAATGAAGCTCGATTGAATGAAACTGTGATTTAGTGTTGCTTGGATCACCATTTTGGTTTTATGATCTGTATTTCAGGTGTCAAATTCCATACTTTTGAAATTTGATCGTGAATATGTCGAATGGATAATAAGTAATGCCGATTCCTGTATCGAAAAGAAGATTAAAAAATAGTAAGAAAAATTTTAACTAATATTAAATGACATCTATTCATTAAATGACATGGATGTTTACGTGGATTTTAACTAATATTAATGACAAAAATTAAAACTGAAAAAATATAAAATGTGGAAAATTAAAAAAAAAAAAATTTAAAGCGGAATAAACCCTAACTAGTTGGATGCTCATGCGTGATGCTATAAGCAGAAAGCTGCTTTTAAACAAAGCAGAAAGCTGAACAAGCATTCAAGAGCAGAAAATCCAACACACCAATATCCAATGACGAAATTTGTAACTTTGCCAGTCGATTTAGTATTGTAAGGTTATCCAGTAAGCAGTACACGTATATCACTTCTTTCTGGGAAGGCAGCTGCAAGACAACGGCCTGGTGATAATACATTCAAGTGATTGTACAATGATACCTGCTGCAAAAGTTGTGAGTAACCATCAAAATTCAAAAACCCGAACACGAGAGATTCATCGCATAGATGCGGTTTACTGCCCGGGAAGGTTGGAAGATTCATCGAATTGCACTCTGTGGAAGAAATAATTACCCATTTGTGGTCAGCGATGAGATAACAGAAATGACATATATACATGTGCCTCTGCTATGACCAGTTGGTGATTCAAAACACAAGAACAAAAAGCGATGCTTCGTTTTCTCTCACTCGCTACTCTTAGGCGAAACTGACCCTTTTTATGTTATATCCCCTACTCTAGTAATTACCTGTTCGATAATCACTCCCTTGAAATCTTGAGCTTTTATTGCTTGATCTATACCGGTCATAATTATCATCCAGATTTTATGTTTTTTCAGTTTTAACTTTACCTTTAATATTAATATTAATTAAAATCTACATAAGCATCCATATCATTTAATGAATAGGGTAAATCTCAGTTTACTACCCTTAAGTTTCGTGGTACTCTAGAACGAAAAAAACTTCACGTACCAAATATTGAAAATCACAAAACTTGAGGGTAGTAAACTGATATTTACCCTACAAAGAAGTGTAAAAATATTTGTCCTTTAATCCTATCTCTTTATGTAAATACGTTGTACATGTTTTATGTAAATAATTTTTTTATATTTTATATATCCATTTAACAATACTTAAATCCATTTAACATTCCTGTGGCAACGCGCGGACTAAACATCCAGTTACTCCGGAGATGTAAAAGCCTCGGCATTACAAGGTAGTTTAGTCTTTCACATTTTCATTTCTTATAATCACTTCAATTTTAATGTTCGATTATGTGGGTAATTAGAAAGCATGTAATAGTTTGTGACACAATTATAGAAATGAAGAGCTAGTTGTAGGCTCTGTTCGTGGTGATGTTGTTGAGGAAAAACTTAGAGTACACAACTCTAAAACAAGTGTTGGAGAGACAACACAAATAAACAAATTAATTGTATTAACTCACAAAACATTACAACACAAACTTTCAAGGACACAGTTTAGAAGCTATGACACTCACTATTTCTAGAGACACACTCTAGATCACTCACACTCCTACAAGACCATTCTTGCTTCTCACTCTCACTTGGTTGCCTAGTACTTCTTCTTCTTGCTTGGTTTATTGTTGATACAAATGGTGTGGATGCCTTCTCCTTTTATAGGCATGGATGAAACCTTAGAGAAGCATGGACACATCATGCTAGAGATATCTAGATAATTCTACTAACTTCCTAAGCTAGAATTATCTACACTAATCTTGCATATTGGTGGAAACCTCACCATTCTTCTAGACTCTTCCACCAACTTAAGAAACAACATTCTAGTCCTTTCTACAAAGGTCTACTTTAACTTGGATAATCTAGCAAACCATATTTAGTGAATGTTTTGGAATTCTTTATTCTAGATTTGTGTAGGTCTTTCAATGAGATGGGGTTGATTTCTTTAACAGATGTTTCTCTAAACGATGCTCCCACTCTGTCATTTCCTTCCATTTCAACAGCAGATTTTCAATTTGACCTTGAGTAGGCATCTGATATTATTGTCAAGAAAGTTATAGAATTTGTGAATAAGCTTGGAAATGCTAAACTTGTTTTAGTGGACTTGAGTCATATATAAATCAAAGATTTTGTCTTTGGTAAGGGCTAAAGCTTCAGAGAAAAACATTGCTTGCTTCCAACAAGTTCTTCACATTTGTGGGAGATACCACTCGGCTTCATTCAGAAGGTGGTTTACACTGCAATGTAACAGCTAATGCTGCTAATTGGTAAACATTTATAAATACCATGCAATATACATGTAAACATTTTGTTGCGGTGCCGTTCACAATATGAAATAACAGATCTGTAGGATATTGGCATTTGTCCTTTGTTAAACCAAAAATATGCTGCTATAGAATTATGCTGAATTATAGTTTTCTATCTGTTACCCTGCAGTTGAAATGTAAAGTTTGATATGTTTTCTTCACCGTTATAATATTTACGTTAAATTAGTACAAAAAAATGTGATTGATGTTTTACATATATAGTAGATTGAAAATAAATAAATATTTGGTGCAGGCGTCTTAAACCCGGAGGTGGAGGTGTCAATGCTGCAATCTTCAGTGCTGGAGGTCCAGCTTTGGAGGTTCCAACCAAAGAACAGCCCAGTCTGTATCCTGGGAGTGCTGTGGTTGTGCCTGCCTCTCCCTTCAACTTCTCCCTTGTTTAGTAGGGAAGGGTTAACCCATGTCATACATGTTGTTGAACCCAACATGAATCCACACAGACCAAATTGTTTGAACAATGACTATAGTACAGGCTGCAAAGTTCTCCGGGAATCTTAAACTTCACGTTTTGAAGGTTTCGCAACAATTGTGAGGACCCAAGCAAAGTCACCCAAGGGAAGCGTTGAGAACCTGGAGGCAAAGCTGCCAGAGTCACAAGTTCATTCTGACGGTGCCTCTAGAAATCATTTTGCAAACAGCGATCAAAAGACTAAGATATCAGGATGGTACTGAAGATTCTAACATTGGTAAACCAAACATGGGCAACAAGTCCGATAGAAGCAGGACTAAATCTTGAGGGTCATGGGCTCAGGCTCTCTACAACACTGCTGTGCACCCAGAAAAGCACAATGATGCTGTACTAGAGATATCGGATGATGTCGTTGTGCCGAATGATCTTTATCCAAAGGTAAGTGATGCCTATTTTCCGTATATTCTTTATCATCCTCTTCAATTTCTATCAGATTAAAAAAAAAATAAAAAACATTGGGAATTTTGCAAGCCAAAAAGCATGTTCTGGTGGTGGCACGGTGTGAAGGTCTTGATCGCCTGTCAGATGTACGTAAAGAGCACCTTCAGTTGTTAAGGACAATGCATAAAGTTGGTTTGAAGTGGGTTGAGAAATTCTTGGATGATGATTCATCTTTGGTCTTCCGTCTTGGATATCACTCAGTACGCATGCTACTTTTCTTAGAGCTTTCTGTTACATTCCTTTCAAAATTTATTGAAAATAAAGCATAAAGACACACAGTAAACTATTACAAATATAACTAGAACATACATAAATTAAAAGGTAAAACCAAAAAGTAAACTTCTTATTTATTGGATCTCAAATTTCCCAGGCATAGCTTGAAGTGCAGCCGTATTGGTCCCCATGATCATTAATTTCAGCGTCCCAACCTTTGATTTATGTGGACATGTCTTCGATGACGACCAATTCTATCTTCAAGTTGAGGGAATATCTTAACAAGGATTTTATACATTATTTTGTAATACCATTTACTCCATCTCTTGCACAACACAAGTGACCCAACTGCAACTCCAAAGCCACATACAAATCCAATTTCAACATTGATAAGATCCCAATCAATCTCATGTCTAGAACTCGGAACACTCCCAGTCAATGTTGGTGGTGGTGACAATCTTGCTTTGCTATCTACTGTCAAAGGAGACCCCCATAATCCTTTGTTACCTGTAAAGGAGGCACTTGTAAATGTTGAAAACTGATTACCGGTTGGGATCCTGCCAACCAATTGATTATTTGAGAGGTTCAAGAATGAAAGGAAAGTAAGATTTGCCAGCTGCAGTGGAATTTTCCCACTCAACTTGTTTTGCGACAGGTCTAAGGACTCGAGTTGTTGCATGTTGCCAAATGACGATGGGATTTCACCAGTAAAAGCATTGCTCGACAAGTTGAGCAAATATAATGATTTGAGTTCTCCCATTTCCTTAGGTATTGGTCCACTCAAATTGTTGCAAGAGAAGTCAATGGAGGTGAAGATGGTTAGAATCTTTACCAGTTCGATTTCAAAACCTTTGCTTACTACAGTTATTGTCTCCTGATAATGAATCAATCCAGGATCTTCAAACGGAAGCAGGCGGATTGTTGACGCGTTTTCATCTTTGTTATCTATCATTGCCTGCCAGGCTTTCAAATACGTTCCTAGTATTTCGCCATGAAAATTGTTGTGAGCTATGTCTATGATCTGAAGCATTGGCCACATTCCATTAGTCTCCTCGGGACATCCAAGGCGTCCATAAAATTTGTTGGACCGCAAAGCAAGGACACGCAAGGTGGAGATGTTCCTCAACAAGCATGGGAAGGTATCTGTTATTTGGTTGTTTTCAAGGTTTACAACCTGTAATTCACTGCATTTGGCTAGAGACTTTGGAAATTGACCATCTATCTGATTCTGATTGAGTTCTAGAAACTCTAAACTTTCAGGAAATTCGAAATCAGAAATACTTCCAGTAAGGTTGTTTCTCTTCAAGTTAAGCACTTGAAGGTTGCTCATTGCAGACAAGCTTTGGGGAATCATACCACTCAAAGAATTAAAAGACAAATCAAGGTGAGATAATGGGGAGGAGTTATCATTGGAAAATTCATGGAGTTGACTAGAGAATTGATTGTGGGAAAGTGTCAGTTGCAACAAGGAGGGAGAAGAAAAGATAGATGACGGAATACTACCAGTGAGTAAATTTGAATCTAATGCCAAATATTCGAGCTTATCAAGGTTTTTCCAGTAAATAGAATCAATCGAACCATTAAACATATTTGATGACATGTCCAAGTAAAACAAATTTGTTAGGCTTGCCATGGACTTTGGAATTGATCCACTAAAACTGCAGTTATAAAGATTTAAAATGGACAACAATTTGAGGTTGCCGATGGAATCAGGCAATAACCCTGAAAACTTTGTGTGGCTTAGGTCCAAAAATCCAAGAGATGCATTCTCAAGAAATTCTGGAAAAGAACCATGAAGACGTACATTACCGGAAAGGTCAATAGCTTTTAAAGTAGGTACCTGAAAGATCTCTTTGGGAAATGTTCCATTCAGAATGCAATTACGAAGACTCAAAGATGTCAACTTGGGAAAGAATCCTGGAATTGGACCGTAAATGTCATTACTATCCAATTGAATCACCGAGAGAGACTGTAGTTTTGCGAGGGACTGACAAAAAGGACCTGAGAGCTGGCTTCCACACAAGCTCAACACCCTCAGATTTGGGAGTGAAGATGATATTGCTTGGCACCACTGACTCCCTTGTGCTGATATATTTATCCCATCAAGATATAGCTCTGTAATCTCTGTGAGGTTCTGAAAGAGCATACTTAAATTTGGGCTCTCAAGTTTGGTGGCACACTGATGTTTACATAGAGAAATATCTAGGACATCCAACCTTGTCAAGCGTGAAATCTCAATGGGAATCTTTCCGGAATAACCAGAATCAGCTAAGTTTAGATACCTCAATTTGGTAAGCTTTCCGATTGATGATGGAATGCAAGAGCCGTTAACAAAAGAGTTATCAGCCAAGTTGAGGCTTTGAAGATGTTGAAGATGGAAGAGAGTGCTCAAGTTGTCAATGCCACCGGAGATGTTTTTGCTACTAATGTCAAGGCCAACAACGCTGCCGTTGGTATTGCAAGTAACACCAGCCCAAGAACAGCAGTCGGTACTTGAATTCCATGATATAAACTTGGATGAATGAGGATACTCAGATGACTCAGGAGCAAAGGTCAGGCTTTTCTTCAGATGGAGCAATTGCTGGTCTTCGAGACACCGACCTCGGACTGCAGCCGCGATGTTAACACAGAAAGTATTAGTGATAATGAAGAACAGGAGGAAGAAATATGGGAGTGGGAAGAGAGGCTTCATCTTGGATAAACTTAAGATTTTGAGGTTTAGAGAGAAGCTTAGGGAAATTGAGTTGTGAAAAACTGGGAATGGTTGTGGCAACTTTAATAGGCATGGTAAACTTGTGCCTTGACTTTGAAGTCTTCTCCCTCCCAAATCCCATATCTGCAAGTCTGTAACCTGCATGAAAAATAGGGCCAGAACTAAAAGCAGGTGACCGTGGCCGTGGGGGCAAGCACTATAGGGACAGAACTAAAAGCGGGTGGCCGTGGCCGTGGGCGCAAGGACTTGGCGAATTAGGATAAATAGGGGCAGAACTAAAAGCTGGTGACCGTGACCGTGGGGGCAAGGACTTGGCGAAGCAAGCATCACCTCCGGAAATTTCCACCTACTCAAACGTAGGTGCTTTTTAGGGTTTGCATTAGATTATTCTCGCCGACATAAGGGAGCTGCTGTCCCCAATTTGTGTATCGTGCAAGTCCCCTTTTTAATTTTAATTTTTCGCGGGGCATCTTAACGAAACAATTTTAATACTATTTACTTTTAATGTTAATAATATTTTTATTTTAAAAAATCATTATTATTCACTTATAATATTTTTTTATTATTTTGCTTAAAACTCAGTTTTCAAATTATTCTCATTAATTTTTTTTCCATGTCTATAATTTAACTCCTAGTTTAACAGTGTCAGCGTTTAATAATGGAAGAGATCCTCTTTTAACCTCAGGATGAGGATCATGAAATTCAAACAGTTCAATTTTAATCCAACCGTTCTAAACAAGAGATCTCCTAAAAAGTTATAATAATTGCAACCGTTAGATTAAAATTGAACAACCTGAATTTTGTGGTCAGGAGGATCCTCATTCTATGCACAGAAGAGGATCCTCTTCCTTTAATAATATCAAATAAATAAATAACTAAAACTTACAAAAAAATAAAAAATAAAAAAACAATCACCACTCAAACTAACCCATCAACACCAATCCTTCACCTGGAGAACTCTTCATCCCCGCGAAGCCTCATTTTCTGTCTCCTCGCCACTTTTTGTCTGTTCAAATACCCAATCGCGATCGACCCAGCCCGTCAAACAACAAATTTCAGATAAATTTGGGTTTGAGGGAGCAAGGAAGAGATATGGTCGATCCATATAAACTCAATTTGAATCGACTCGGTAACAATAAGCTGCGAGATCTTAATCGACGGCAAGGTTCGCCTCGATTATCTTATGCGGCTCCGCCGGTGAGATTGAAAGAGAGAGTGGAAAGAAGCTTCAACGACGGTGAGAATTATCGTCGACTGCGACGACTGGGTTGGGTTTGTTGGGGTTACTGGTTGCTTGGAAAAAATTGGAAGGAGTTCCAACTTCCAAGTGTTGGGTTTGTAGTGTTTACTGTTTTGGTTTCCCTTGATAAATTATAAAAGTTAACGCTGTTAAATTTGAGTTAAGGTAAATGATACGTGTCGAAAAATTAGAATTGAAACATGAAGGAGACATAAATTTGGGGATAGCGGATCCCTGTGAAATTGTAATGTTAATTAATGGGTTGATTTGTTGATCTATAGACTTTCAAGTCTAGGCCTTGCTGTTTACTGTTTAGTGAGACTATAACTCTTTTTTTTTTTTTTTTTTACTATAATTAGTGATTTGAAAAATGATAACCGCATTATTTTTAAGGAAAATTAACTAAACATTAAAAATAAAAATTAGTTTTAATGAAAAATAACAAATAAACGTGTTGTGAATAATAGCAGGAAAGGTAAAAATATGATTTTTCTTTAAAAGTTTACTGTACCAGAAGTGTTTCGTTAAAAATCTCTCATTTTATCTTTCCAACCTACATCCTTTTATTTTAGATTATCAGATTAAATAATTTTAATAAAATCAACGAAAAAGATTAAAATGCGTGTTTGCGGAGAAAGAAAGAGTGTATGATATATTTGCTATAATGTCATCAGTAGCGACATATTATTCCTTAAGAATAATTGTAGTACTACTTTAGGCAATCTGGCAAATGGAAATTTGTCGCATGAAAGATACTAATTAATATACTTGGATTTATATATGACACTGTAGAATTGTTAGATTAGGAAAGAGTTTTGAAATGTTATATGAATTTTTATACTTTCTTTTTAAGGAAAACTAATTAAAATGGTTTGAAAACTTTGAGTTTTAACAATAAGAACAAAATAAAAGGTAAAGTAAATAGTACAAGGATTGACTTTTTAGTGTAAAAATGTGGTTTTTCGTTAAAATAAACAGTATCAGGAGCTTTTTGTTAAAGTTATCTTCTTTTTAATTTGTCATATGAACTAAAATATAAACAATTTATCATACCAACTCCATTAAGTTTTTCATCTAATATAAATCACGTGCTTTGCAATGACTTGTTTTCAGTAGCAGAGCCAAGAGAGGTGCATTGAGATCCCTTGACCTCAATAAATTTGTAAATATACTCTTATGAAATTTTTTTTTTAAACAAATGATATTATCTATATTAAGGAGAAAGATTAAATTTATCCTTATATTAGTAATATGTGGCTCAAATTAAAGAGCACGTTGTTTTCACTACACAGCAAAAAGAAAAGCAGACCAAAAAATGGAAAGGCATTTGCCTTTGCCTTTCGGTACCTAAAAAGCAGAGGCGAATGGATGGCATTTTGATGCCTTTTGTGGTTATTAAATGCAAAGGGTAGAGATGAGGGAGACGCTCGTTGAAATGTCTCGAATATTAATCCTGAACATAAGTTATGTGTGTTTTGCATATGAGTTATTTTGGATTAAAAAATTAACGGAGTTAGAGTTAGATGACAAACTAATGATTCGGAAAATTGATATGACAAATTAAAGAAGGTGTATAAATTCATATAACATTTCAAAAAACTTCCCTTGGTTTTATGGTTTGACGTTGAATTTGAAGTCTTGATTACCTCAATTTATGACTTTTGATGAAGTTTAATTAATTTCTAGATATATTTCATGTAAATTTAGAGTAAAAAGTTTCCAAAAAAAAAAATTAGCGTAAAATATAAGACAACATGGCGTTCAAGTTTTACTGTGTTGCATTCCTATCTTCATTTCCAGTGGCTATTGACGATGGCGATACATGGTCAGTCAATACAAACAAAAATGACTATCTAAGCTCAGCTAAAACCGTGATGAAGTTGAACTGTGAACGTGTGTTTATGCACTTGGTTAATCGGAATGTGTAAAATAATTGTCCTATATTTTATGAAGTTTTTCAAGGTCCAAATTATAGTTCTCGCCAATTGAAAAAAATAAATCAATAAAATCAAATCAAAATGTAAGCAATGCATCTATTCTATACTATTATGAGCACCCTTTTTATCAACTTTTTTTTTCTTTCTATTTTGCCCTTACTTTTAATGCACACTATTGACAAAAAAAAGGGCAAAATAGTGATTTTGTATCTTTTGACAAAATGACAATCATATCCCTATTATTCCTATTTTACCCTCTTTTTTTTTTTTTTTTTTTTTTTTGAAAAAATGACAATCATATACTTATTTTTTCAATTTTACCCTCACTTTTAATACACAATATTTACATAAGTAGGCCAAAACAGTAATTATGTAATATTAAAAAAATATACACTTATTAAGAGAAATTGTTCACACACACAAAGTGTGTGCTATTTGCTAGTATGCCAAAAGAAAACTGACCTCCCATCACCAATAACTCAATGACTTTTGATACACAATATTTACATAAGTAGGACAAAACAATAATTATGTAATATTAAAAAAAATATACACTTATTAACAGAAATTGGTCATACAAACAAAGTGTGTGCTCTCTGCTAGTATATCAAAAGAAAACTGACCTCTCATCACCAATAACTTAATGACTATTGTGGATACAAATTTTCGCCTTCTTCTTCTTGGACAAAATTGCACCTACAAAACAATTAACACATTAGGTCAAGGCCAAGAACCTCACACGCCCACTATAAATGGGGGGGCTTTGGCCGATGAACCTCCGATGTCAAAGTTAGAATTTTGAAAGAAAAGTGTTTAGAGAATTTAGAGAATTTTGCAAAAGTTTTGAACTTGGATTTTAGAGAGAATGAGGGCTATATATGGGTATGGCCAACCCTATTAGGAGAATGGGGACTGGCCATATGTGGTATTTTTTTGTGTTAATTGTTATCAATTAGCTAATTAATGAATTAATTAAGTAATAAATCAATTAATTAGCCAATTAATATAATTTTAGAGAAATAATTTGGGAGTTACCTTGTGGGGAAGATTTGATGAGGATGGATGAAATAGGTTTTGAATAATTACCTATTTTGACTACTTTTGACCTTGATTGAGGGATGATTGTCCGCTTGCGCGTAGAAATCCTGATGTGCCTCAAGGGTAATCTTGACATTTTTACCCAAAAATCCACATGTTGCCTTCATATTTTTCTTGATTATTTTTTGCTCCACAACTATTATTATTCAAAATATGCAAAGCATGCTTCAAACCATGCCACACAGAAAACCGTAAATAGATATTTTGGTTTTTGTAAGACGAAAGAAGAAAACGTTGACGTGCAAAAAAAATAGTTATCAAACAAATTTCAACCAAAAAAAAAAAAAACGAAACAACTTTCGAGCTCCAAAAGGCCGTTTAATAATCGTTCCGTTTTTATTTCATTTTTTAATTTTTTAAAAAATTAAAAATTTATTTAATAAATACTTTCAATTTAAAAATAAATAATTATCAAACAAATCCTAAATAACTTAAGCGAGCCATACAAAGGAAAACGGGGTGATGGTAATGCATGTATGCCAGGTATAATTTTGTGATTTGCTTGACTTGTTGACTTCAAAGTATCGGTTGTTTTATTCAATGTTGACAGACTATTGAGTGGAAAGAAGGGTAAAATTTCGCACCTACGAGGGGCTAAAACTTCACGAAACAGTGTATACATGCATTATACTTCCAGTTTCATATAAGAGCTTGTTAGAAAATGATTTTAAAACGATTAAATGAGTTTTTAGAAAAGAAAATATTTTAGAACAAATCTTTAGTAAAAACAAAAGTGAATCTTGAAAAATCATTTGAAGTGATGTTTCTTCCACAAAGCACTTCAAGTGTTTTTGAGACTCAAAAATATTTTCTTTAAAAATATTTTCAATAATTTGAAAAACACTTCCAAACGAGATCTAAATCTCTCTTTTACAGGACTACAAGTGGGGTAATTAATGAAATCATGTTTAATTTTTTGGTCGGAAGCGGCATTCTCTTAGTGCATTCTACAAAAGCACTTGAAGTGATGTTACTATCGGGATAAATTGAACAAATAATTTAGATTAGCTTCCATAGAAACACACTTGAATGAGTCAGTGCCTAGCTACAACTACACTAAACGTTGGTGTAAAATCTGTTGCACCACGGAAGAAAATAAATTAATAAAATAATTTGGCAAAAACTAATTTTGTGCTTCAATAACTTTTGAAATTTGAGGAAGAACCTTAGTTGAAATGACCAAAGATAAAGAAGGGCTAATAATAGGTTCATCCAACCATTTGTCAAACCAAAAGAAAACGGACCTCCTATCACCAATAATTCAATGACTAGGTAAAGCACGCTTCAAACCATATCACACAAAAGACCATAAATAGATATTTTGGTTTTTGTAAGGTGAAAGAGGAAAATACTGATGAGCAAAAGAAATGGTTATCAAACAAATTACAACACAAAAAAATGAAACGAATTTCAAACTTTAAAAGGCCGTTTAATAATCATTCCGTTTTCTTTTTTCTTTTTTCCTTTTTTTTTTTATTTATGAAAATTGAAAATTTGTTTGGTAATTTAAGGGAGCCATACAACGGAAAACGTGGTGATGGTAATGTATCATGTATGTATAGCGGGTGGTTTGCTTGACTTGTTGACTTCAAAGTCTTTCCCCGTATCCCTTGTAGTTGTGGGGATTAAAGTGTAGGTGGTTTTATTCAATGTTGACAGACTATTGGGTGGAAAGGAGAGGGTAAAATTTCACCCCCACAGAGGAGCTAAAACTTCCCGAAACAGTGTATACCCCCTCGTTCAAGTGATGATTCTTCCACAAAACACTTTAAGTGTTTTCGAGATCCAAAAGCAATTTCTCTAATAACGCTTTCAGTAATTTTAAAATCACTTCCAAACGAGGCCTAAGTCTCTCGTTTACAAGGCTACAAGTGAAGTAATTAATGAAATCATGTTTAATTTTTTGGTTAGAAGCGGCATTTTACGAGTGCATTCTACAAAATCGCTTGAAGTGATGTACTAACTGGATAACTTGAACAAATAATTTAGATTAGCTTCCATATAAACACACTTGAATGAGTCAGTGCCTATTCCCTGAGCGTCAGATATTCCAAACCAGAAATTTTCAGCGCATTACTCAGGTTTATGATTTGATTGACTTTGAACTAGTCTAGGCATTTCTGCAATCTACATGTTGCTCCTATTTTAGTTTTTGACTGATTATGGTGATATATAGTCGATCAAATACAAACACCGTTGTAGATGGAAGAAAAACAGAATGGTTTGTGTATGCTCATGTTGATATTCTGGATAGCAAGAGAAATATGTTCTCCGAAAAATCTCATCGATTGTATGTAACTATGATATCCTGGAGGATTCATTGGGGTAACTTCCTTCAATTAAGTCTCTCACAGAGGAACACGCCCAATTCAAATCCTTTAGTAGTTAAATGTTAACCCTCTCTTTTAGTAGTTGAGTGTTAATATGGAAGACTAATCATCGCGATGGATACTTCGCCTTTGTCAACTCAAAGTCTTAAAATAGAAGTTAGAGATTGTCCAAAAATTGAAGTTGAGGTTCATCGTAAAACCAGTTAACAATAGGGCGAGTGACTAAACTTCTGTAAGCCCTTATAAGGTTTCTTAACTTTCCGTTGTGCTCAGGCATCAAGGGGAGAATACTGATTGAACTTAGGGATGGGCAAATACTCATTGGTTATGGGTAACTGCGGTTACCCGTCCATTTAAATTAAACGGTTATGGTTATGGGTAACCGTTTAGATAAATAAACGATTATGACTATAACCGTTTACCGTGAAATTTAAATGGGCTGTTATGGGTATTAACCGCGGTTATAAACGGGTAACCGTTTACCTATTTATTTTATATATGTAAAATTAACACAAACCATGTTCTTGATCCAATAATACTTAGCACCCAATAAATTAGCAAGGAATTCATCGGTCCTTCTCTCAATAACACTGCTACAGGAATGATGATTCTCATCATCAAAGAATTCGCCAAATTAATTTAAATTCCTTGCAGGTAACCATGAAATTGACAGAAATGTCTTCTAAACAATTTTTGTAACCCAATAATACTTACCAAATATTATATTTACCTTCATTGGTAACAGTTAAAAATATCGTCCTTAATCTATTATTTCAATTATTGGAATGGTATAAGGACTTAAAAAAAATTAAAATACGGAAATGTATGATGAATGTACTTATAACGGTGTTTAATTGTTAAAAAAAAAAAAATTATGACAATTTTTTTTTAATTTTCAAGTTGTTAAAAAACCATGTAGACGGGTGAAAAATGGGTAATGGTAAAAAAATGAAAAAGATAAACGGGTTAAAAAGGGTAAATGTGTATTAAACGGTTATGGTTAAATGAGTATGTGGTTATGGGTCTGGTTAACCGTTTATAAACTATTATGGGTATGGGTATAACCGTTTAGGCAATTACCCAACGGGTAAATGGTTATGTGGGTATAAGCATAAACGGTTATAGGTAAATAACCGCGGTTACCCGCCTGTCATAACCGTTGCCCATCCCTAATTGAACCGTAGTTCGCTGATTTTTGTAAAAACAGTTGAGTTTTTCATTTCTGTTTCTTACCTGAGAGGGTTGGCTTCAGCCTTATGTGCAATCTCGGACATAAAAGTTGGTGAGGAAATCCTGAAACAAGTAAGAGCAAGTTTGCTCTGTTACAAATTGAGGTGAAAAATAAAACATTAGGTGTTGTATGATATATATGATGAGTTTAAAGTTGAATGGCAGAATGTTAAAAACATATCCCAATTCGGAAGTCAAGATATTGTTTGTCAAAATATTATGATGGATGGAGTTGGTCTTGACATGTTACTACACAATTTGAACAAAAAATATGTAACAACATGTAGTACTGTCTTTTGGGTTTATTAGATTACACTAACTTCAGGAACCTTAACTGTATGAGGAAATTTATTGAAAACAAAACATAAAGATACACAATAAAGTATTACAATATAACTATAACATATCTAATTAAAAGGTAAAACCAAAAAGCAAACTTCTTATTGTTGGATCTCAAATTCCTAGGCATAGCTTGAAGTCCAGCTCAATTGGCCCCCATGGTCGTTAATTTCAGCGTCCTAACCTTTGATTTGATTTGTGTGGACATGTCTTCGGTCACAACCAATTCTATCTTCAAGCCGGAATATCTTAACAAGGATTTTATTCATTGTTTTGTAATACTATCTACTCCATCTCTTGCACAAAAAGTAACCCAACCGCAACTCCAAAGCCACATACAAGAATGAGGATCCTCTCCGGATCCTCTTTGTGAGTATTCGGAGGATTCTCAAATTGTATCCGTTCATCGTATATCGTGCGGCCAGTTTTCATCAGGTACTACTCATGTTTAATTTTAAATAAAAGTATTTAAAATAATTTCTGACCACACGATGTACGATGAACGGACACGGTTCATTTCATCCCATCCTTGGATCAACTTGCAAATCTCTTGACAAAAGGTCTATCTAAACCACAGTTTCTTCTTCTGTGGTCCAAACTTGTCGCCTCTCAACCGTCCAGTTTACTGGGATGTTAGAGGAGTCTTGTCCAAGGAAATTGTCTCTCTTAAGGTTTAGCAATTAATATTGTAATCTGGTTCCGATTGTATTCATAATTTGAAGAGATCCTTACTTGTACACCAAGTAAACATGATTGTATGCATAGGCCTTTGTGCTATGAACTTATCAAGTTTATAATTTCTATAGATTTAACATGTTGTAGGTTACCGGAATACGGAGAGCTTAACACAATTATAGAAAAAATTATCACAGGAAGACGATTGAAAAAGAAAAGGATAAGAAAATTTTGATGCCTAATATGATAAGGAAATGTCCTCACAAGTTTCTTCCGAAATAACGATTTTAAAGAATTAGAAAAATAATTAAAGCAAACCCATCTTTAAAATCCAAATCGAATCGGATCTTGTCAATTTTCGGGTCGACGATGTGTGACATGTGTCCCATTACGCAAGCACCAGGCACCGGCAATAGAAGCTTCAATCTTCTAGCCCAGTGGAAGAAGAAACCGCTGCTTTTCCGCCGTTAATTCAAAAGTGCCTCGCAGAGTCTTCCAAAACATGGACATGGATATCGACGAAACAGCCAAAGGTACGCCCCTTCTCCAAAAACGCCGCGTTTTACCATTCTCAGTCGTCGTCGCCTTCGGTGATCATAAAAACTGTACGCGCTTTTGGCGGGGGAAGAAAAACAAGGAAAGCCTGTCGAAGTAATATTGGTGGGTGCGCCCGGAAGTGGCAAGTCTACCTTCTGCGAATATGTCATGCGCTCCACTCGCCCTTGGGTTCGCGTTTGCCAGGTATATCTCTGTGCACACAGTGTGTTCGATGAAATGTCGCAGTGGGCTCAAGATTGCTATTTTCAGTACGTAGTATGGTACTCCGGATTTCTATTCATTTGGGTTCTTGTCTTATGCTGTTATATGTTCATATTTTATGTTTTTGTAAGATACTGTCAAAAACGGTAAAGCCGGAACGAAAGGGCAGTGTATAGAGAGTGCAATGAATGCGTTGAAGGATGGGAAGAGTGTGTTTATAGATAGGTGTAATGTAGAGAAAGAACAAGGGGATGAATTTGTGAAGCTTGGTGATAGTTCCCAAGTTGATGTTCATGCTGTGGTGCTTGATCTTCCTGCCAAGCTTTGTATATTGCGGTATGTGAAGCGAACTGGCCATGAAGGAAACGTGCAAGGCAGGAAAGCTGTGGCGATTGTGAATAGAATGCTGCGGAACAAAGAACTGCCTAAGCTGAGTGAAGGGTTTGCTATTGCCAGAGTCAGAGTGATGTTCAATCTGTGGTTGATGCATATAGTGGACTTGGTCCGTTGGATACACTTCCCAATCAGAAGAACCCCGGTGCAAAAATTCAACTAGGTATAATGAAGTTCTTAAAGAAAACAGATGGTCCTGCCAATACTGAATCAACTTCGAAGACTGTACCGGATTCTAATGCTTCTCAAATTACTGAAGAAAAGGAAACCTCTTTGAAAGGAACAGGTTCACTTTCTGAAAAATCTGGTAAGGAGTCAAAGGAAGGTGAAGAGCTAGTTGTAGGCTCTGTTGGCGGTGATGGTTCTCTAAACGATGCTTCCACTCTGGCATTTCCTTCCATTTCAACAGCAGATTTTCAATTTGACCTTGCAAAGGCATCTGATATTATTGTTGAGAAAGTTAAAGAATTTAGGATTAAGCTTGGAAATTCTAGACTTGTTTTAGTGGAATTGAGTCATTAATCGAAGATTTTGTCTTTAGTAAGGGCTAAAGCTTCAGAGAAAAGCATTGATTCCAACAAGTTCTTCACATTTGCAGGAGATATCACTCGGCTTCATTCATTCAGAAGGAGGTTTACACTGCAATATAATAGCTAATGCTACCAATTGGTAAGCATTTAGAAATACCATGCAGTATACATGTAAATATTTTGTTGCGGTGCTAGTTCGCAACATGAAATTACAAATCTGTAAGATATTGGCATTTGCGTCCGATCTTTTTGAAAGAATTATGTCTACCCAGGATTCCAATGAAAAGAAAATTGAACTTGATATACTGTTGTTATTTCAGGTTTAACAATGGAGGCTTTGTTGCATGCATTTTGCTTATTCCCTGAGCGTCAGAGATTCCAAACCATAAATTTTCAGTGCATTACTCAGGTTTATGATTTGATTGACTCAAATTCACTTTGAAGAAGTCAAGGCATATCTGCAATCTACATGTTACTCCTATTTTAGTTTTTGACTGACTAAGGCCATATATAGTCGATCATATACACATACCGTTATAGGTGGAAGAAAAACAGAATGGTTTGTGTATGCTCATGTTGATTTTCTGGGTAGCAAGAGAAGCATATTCTCCGAAAAACTCATGTATTGTATGTAACTATGATATCGTGGAATTGTGACTGTCGTAGTCTGCTCTGTTATAAATTGAGGAAATCCTGAAAGTTGGTGAGGAATTCCTGAAACAATAAGCGCTGGTTTGCTCTCTTATTAATTGAGGTGAAAAATAAATCATTAGGTGCTGTAGTACTGGATATGATGAGTTTAAAATTGAATCGCAAGGTCTTAAAACATATCACAATTCAGAAGTCAAGATTTTCTTTGTCAATATTATGATGGATGGAGTTGGTCTGGCATCGTACTACACAATTCGAACAAATAATACATTACATGTAGTACACTCTTTTGGGTTTATCAGATTACGCGAACTTCAGGAATTTCGACGGTACGAGAAAATTTATTGAAAGCAAATCATAAAGATACACAATAAACTATTACAAATATAACTAGAACACACATAAATTAAAAGGTAAAACCAAAAAGCAAACCTCTTACTTGTTGGATCTCAAATTTCCTAGGCATAGCTTGAAGTCCAGCTCAATTGGTCCCCATGATCGTTAATTTCAGCGTCCCAACCTTTGATTTATGTGGACATGTCTTCGGTGAGGACCAATTCTATCTTCAAGCTGAGGGAATATCTTAACAAGGATTTTGTACATAGTTTTGTAATACCATTTACTCCATCTCTTGCAAAACACAAGTGATCCAGTAGCAATCCCAAAGCCAACAATAAACCCAACTTCAGCACCAATCAGATCCCAATCAATTCCGTGCGCAGAATTAGAATGTTTGCCATCTAATGTTGGTGACAGCCTTGGTGACATGTTGGTATCACCGCATCTTAGAAGTGAAGGTGGCCCACATAATCCTTTATTGCCTGCGAAGGACTCCGCTGGAAATGTTGAAATCTGGGTACTGATTGGTATCTTCCCGACCAGTTGATTGTTTGAGACATCTAGGAAAGAAAGGAAAGTAAGGACCCCAAACTCCACTGGAATTTGCCCGCTCAAGCTGTTGTTTGAAAGGTCTAACGACTCAAGTTGTCGTAGGTTACCTAATGATGGTGGGATTGTGCCTGTGAGAGCATTGCTAGACAAGTTGAGGCCATAGAGGGATTTGAGTTCTCCCACCTCCGCAGGTATTGGTCCACTAAAGTTGTTGCATGAGATGTCAATGTAGGTGAAAACAGTTAGAATCTTTACCAATTCCATCTCTAGACCTTTGGTGGTAACTGTTATAGCATCCTGATAATATACCTGACCGAACTTTAGAAATTGAAATCGAAGGTGATTAGTTTTTGACTCGGCATCACTTTCGTCAGCCATCATTGCTTTCCAGGTTCTCAAAACTCTTCCTGGTATTTCACCACTAAAATTGTTGCGAGCTATGTCAAGAATTTGAAGCTTTGGCCAGTTACCGCTGGTTTTGTTACATCCCATATGTCCATAAAAACGGTTGGATCGCAAAACAAGGATAATCAAGGAGGATATATGCTTCAACACGCAAGGATAGATATCTCTTATCTGATTGTTTCCAATGTTTAAAACCTCTAGCATTCTGCAATTGCCAAGAGATTTTGGAAATTGACCTTCTATCTGATTTCCATTGAGGTCAAGAGTTTTCAAACTACAATGCTGAGGAAATCCATCAGGAACAGAACCAGCAAGTTTGTTTCTCCTCAGATTAAGTACTTCCAGTGTCCCACTTATGGTAGTCAAGCATTGGGGAATTGGACCACGTAGAGAATTATCGGACAAATCAAGAATCCGAAGATATGTTCCTTGGCACATTGATTCTGGAATGCTTCCATTTAACTTGTTGCTTGCAAGAGAGAAGAACACAATGTACATAAGGAAATCACCAGCGTCAGCCGGAATGCTTGAGCTGAAATTATTTCTTGAGTAATCCAGATAAGTGACCTTTTTTGGAAGCATTGGAATTGGTCCCTGAAGCTGGTTGGAATGAAGGTCAAGCACAAACAAACTAGAAGTAAGATTGAGGAAAGGACCTTCTAGTGTTACTAAGGAGTTGCAAGAAAGATTTAGTTCACCAAGACTACTGAGCCTCCAAATCCAGTTGGGTATCTCACCATGAATTTGGTTTTGTGATAGGTCCAAAGTTCTTAATCTTGATTGATTTCTCAAGAAATCAGGAAAGGTTCTCAACTTTATAGCAGCTAATTTCAATATGGAAAATTTCGGAAGGGAGTAGGAGGAATTGGAACTCTCATAATTAATTAGCAAGCTATTGTATGAAAGATCAAGACTTGAGAGATTTTTCAGTTGTTGAATATCATTAAGCGGAAAGGACCCACTGAAGCTGTTTGAAGAAAGAAAGAGTACTCTAAGCTCTCGTAGATAAGAGATGGACATGGGTATAGGCCCTTCCAAACTATTGCTGCTCAAATCAAGGAAGTATAGGGGAGAAAAATTACCAAATTCAGGTAACTGGCCAGAGAAGTTATTGTTAGAAAGCCCTAAATTTTGCAGCATGGGAAGAGAAAACAGAGATGACAGAATAGTCCCATCAAGTAGATTGTGTTGCAAGTCGAGATTCACCAGATTAGTCAGGTTTTCCCAGTGAGTGGAATTAATCTGACCCGTTAGCTGATTGTGAGAAAGATTTATTAGGGTCAGATTCATGGCCATACTGAAGGATGGAACTGAACCATTGAACTTGTTCCGTGACAAGTCAAAATAAACCAATTGATGAAGGTCTTCTATTGACCTTGGGATTGATCCAGTGAAATTGCACCCCGAAATATCTATGTTGGACAACATTTTGAGGTTTCCAATAGAGTTCGGAAGTAACTGGCCTGAAAAGTTAGCCCCGCTTAGAACCAAGGACCGAAGAGATCCACTCTTCGTAAATTCTAGTAATGGACCTTGAAGCTGCGGATTACCAGATAAGTCAATAGTCTGCAGTGTAGGTACCTGGAAGATCTTCTCCGGAATTGTACCATATAAGCCAGAACCTGTTTCATATAAGCTTGAACCTGTACCATATGAGCCAGAACCGCGTAGGTGCAAGGAAGTCAAATTTGGGAACTTTGAGAAGAACTCTGGAACTTGAATAGAAAAATCATTGTAATCTAAACGAATAACCGAGAGTGAGTGAAGCTTCAGTAATGAACTATCAATAGGTCCAGAAAGATTACAAGTGGACAAGCTCAACACCCTCAATTTTGGCAGTGAAGATGATATAGCTTGGCACCACTCAGTCCCCCGTGCTGATATCCTTACACCATCTAGATGAAGTTCAACAAGCTCAGAAAAGTTCTGAATGAGCACATTCAAATTTGGATTCTCAAGATTCAACGCAGGAGTTTCGAGGAAATAGTAGGTAGACAAATCAAGATTTACCAACCTCGTAAGGTGTGAAATCTCAATAGGAACCTGCCCCGCAAAGCCAGCATACGACAAGTTCAGATTGGTCAAACCTGTTAGCTGCTTGAACTCGGAAGGAATCTGAGTGTAGTTGAAGTTGTTGTAAGCCAAATTCAGGTTCTCGATTGACTTCAGACCGAAAAGAGAACTCGAATTATCAAGTCCACCACTAATCGCCTCGCTGCTCAAGTCCAGATTCGAAACACAACCCTCTTTGCAGGACACTCCTGTCCAAGAGCAGTAGTCCGCGCCATGGTTCCAGTTCACAAGTTTTTGAGATGTTGCAGGATCAAATGTGAGGGTGTTCTTCAATTGTAGCAACAAAGATTGCTGATCGCCGGGACATTGGCTAGTAACCACAAACGTATGGAAGGTGAGTGAAACATAGCAAACGCGGAGTAAGAAAAGCCATGAAAGCAGAGGAGTTTTCATCGGAAATTGTTGCTGATATGTGACACCAAATGTAAGGAAGGAACAGCTTAGGCAGGTCCCTAGTTATTCTTCTTTGTAAATTTACTTTGTTTTCTGTTGTGAATAATTACATTTGCATTGATAGATTGTGTAATGGCGTGTGAGCCAAAGACCAATTTGGTCTTAGTGGCGTGGTTTTCTGTTTTAAAAATACTGTATCTTTTTATATATATTTTTTCTTGGTTAAAGACTTCATTTCTTTAACATATACCTTCCTTTAGATTCTTCCATATCTATTATTCAATAGAAGGTATTGTGTTACAAAGTTGACTTTTAGACTAAGTTTTGTATTTATAAATATGCCATAGAAGGAAAAAAAATCTTTTAAACACAAAAAAAAGTCTTGTGCGTGAAAGGGCCACATTTTAATTCTCACAAACTGCCCCATTTTATTGAACTGTGGTTTGTTGTGATGTGATTGTAATTTGAATTTCAGTTCCGCACAGCCAATTGCACACATCTACATGTATAACCATTTCATCTTCCATTTTCCCTTATCTCAAGTACAAAAAAATGGGAACTACAAACAAAAAATAAAGTAATTTCCAAGCTCCAATAGGCTGTTTAATAATATTTCGTTTTTTTTTAATTAAAAACATTTTTAGTAACTATTTTTAATTTAAAATAAATAAATAATAATAATTATCAAACGGATTCTAAATAACTGAAGTGACTCAAACGAATTGACGTGTGTATGTATGGCTCTTAGAGCAAGTCCACCGTTGTGGACTGCTCGGGGGACAATGGACCAAACAGGGCTGGATAGCCCGACTGCAAGCCTCCAGCGTTGGGAGCCCGAGGGACTGGGCAGGCCCGAGCAACAGGCCCGTGAGGAATCGCCAGCCCGTGAGCCCGAGGTGGACCTGACGCAGGGCTGACGTCAGGCTGGCGTCAGTCCCTTTTTTAATTTTTTTCTGTCAGGCGCATGCGCCTCACCCGCGCGTGGGGGCGCATCAGCAGACAAGTTTCATACCACAGGGGCCCGCGGAGCAGTCAGCCTCAGTTACCGTTGGGAAGCCAAGTGGCTTCCCACGGTGCGTTCGATCTGAACAGCTCTTTAACTTGGACCGTTCAATCTCAATGGTAATAATAATAAAAAAAAGCTTATTTAATATCAACCGTTCGATCTGAGATCAACGGTTGATATTAAATAGGCTTTATAAATAAATAAATAAAAGAAAAAATAATTTTAAAATTAAGAAAAGTTACCATTGTGACACGTGGCACAATCTGGAGTGTTGGAATTCAAATTTTTTTTATATCCAACGGCAGAGATTAATTAGTTGAATAAAAATTAAAAAAAAATTGTAAAAAATCCGAAAAAAAAAATGTTTTTACTTTTCTATAAATACCTTCTCATTATCATCTACCTTACACCACGATTAAAAATTTTATCCGAAATTACAAATAAAATTATTTTGTATTATTTAATAATACTTCGGATAATGACACGTGGCGCAACAAGAATAATTAAAAATCTTATCCGAAATTACAATTAAAATTATTTTGTATTATTTTATAAATAAATAAAATACTAATATTTTATTGCCTATTGCTAGGGCTATTGAAGTGCAACGGTGGAGATGCAAAAAGTAATTACTGTTCATTAAGGCAGTTATTGTTCACCAGGTGGATAGCATAGTATATTGCCTGGGGAAGGTTTCACATGCTGGAGTTGCTCTTAGAGACGCTAAGAAAAACGCGGTAATGGTTTCTACCAAGTTTGTGGTTTGCTTGACTTGTTGACTTCAAAGTCTTTCCCCATATTCCTTGTGGGGTTTGAATTGTGGGTTGATTTTTCAATGTTGACGAGAGATAGGCTAAAACTTCACGCAAGGGAGTGTGTTTCCCACGTTCAGATACATGCATTATCCTCTCGATTTTATTTAATAGCTTGTTTGAAAGTACTTTTAAAATAACTGAAAATTCTTTTAGTAAAAATATTTTTGAAATCAATCTTTAATAAAAATGCAAGTAAATCTTGGAAAAATCACTTGAAGTGGTGCTTCTTCGATCTAGAAAACACTTCAAGTGCTTTTAGAACCTAAAAACATTTTCTTTAAAAACGTTTTCAGTTATTTTAAAAGCACTTTCAAACTATGCTTAAGTCTCTTTTCTACAAGGCTTCAGGTGGGTTAATTAATCAAATCGTGTTTAATTCTACATGTGGATTAAAGCATTTCACGATAACCATTTCATTTTGACTTTGGTTTTCACTTTTTTGTGCTTGATATATGAGGAAAGTATACGGAGATAGGTCTTAACAAATTGAAAGATAAAGATCGCAAGTATCTCATGACGATGTCCAGAATTTGGAAGGCGTCCATTCAATGTTGGTGGGTGATGACAATTCTGCTTTGTATCCACCGTTAAAAGGTGGACTCCATAATCCTTTGTTTCTTGTAACAGAAGCTATTGGAAATGTCGAAAGCTGAGTACCCCTTGAGATCCTGCCGACGAGCTGATTATTTGAGAGATTCAAAAAGCAAAAGGAAAGTAAGTTTCGCACACTCTGGTGGAACTTGACATGTCCAAAGATTTAACATGCCGTAGGTCACCGGAATACGAAGGGATTCCCCCACTCAGCTTGTATTGATGCGGTGGCGGCTTTAATGTTGTGGGAAATATCTCCATCAGATTTGTCGTCGTTTAGCTTGACTAGGAAGTCTTCATCCAGAAAAATCAAAGCTATAACAGAGTAAATGTTCATGATATTAAACAAACTGAGCATTACAAACAAATGTGAAAATTTTGACCGCAAATATGTCGTTCTTACCTACCTTTTACAATTAAAAACTTGCAAGTTGCAACATCAAAATATCAAAAAGTAACAAACAAGCTCACACTGCAATACAAACAAATGTGGAAAATTTGATCGCAAATATGTCATTCTTATCTACCTTTTACAATTAAAAACTTGCGACATCAAAATATCAAAAAGTATCAGAACAAGCTCACACTACATCTCGTACTTTATATTTATGTGACAGCAGAAGCAAATGTCTTATTTCTTGCCAAACACAGGCAGAACAAGGAGGCCAGCTGCATTGCCCCTCATAACAAATTCAACGTCTCGGCCTTTGATTTATGTGAACATGTCTTCGGTGAGGACCAATTCTTTCATCAAAATGAGGGAATATCTTAACAACGATTTTATACTTAGCCATGTAGTACCATTTACTCCGTCTCTTGCACAACACAAGTGACCCGACCGCAATTCCAACTTGCATGATGATTCATCTTTGGTCGTCCGTCTTGGATATCACTCGGTACACATGCTACTTTTCTTAGAGCTTGCTGTTATATTCGTTTTCTCCAACGTTGCCTTTCGAAATCCTCTCTGCTAAAGGACTGGTGAGGTTAGTATTAATACATCAGACTAGGTGTAAATAATAAACTTGAACTTTAGGGGATATCATCTCTTGCAGGATCCCTCAATGCGACAACTGCATCTGCATGTTTTTAGCCAGGATTTCGATTCAATACATTTGAAGAACAAGAAACAGTGGAACTCCTTCAACACTGCTTTCTTTCGAGACTCCATGGATGCAGTAGAGGAAGTCAGTAGTGATGGAAAAGCAAAGCTAAAAGATGATGATAGCCTGTTGTCTACGGAGCTTCGATGCCACCGATGTAGAAGCGCTCACCCCAACATGCCGCGATTAAAATCTCACATTACCGACTGTCGAGCCCCCTTTCCAAGCACCCTGCTCCAAAATGGTCGTCTTGTTCACGCACCAAGCAATGTCAGCATTGATCCGTAGGTGTAAAATCCATCGCATCTCATCGAAATTTTGTTGAATATAGACAAATGCTTTTTGGTGGCTTAAACGGTATTGCATTGTGATCCTTGGTATGGCTTTTCATGATTCTCAATCTTCACAAATTTGTGTTCTCGCAGAGGTTAGTAGTAACAAAATGCATTTTTCATGATTACCATTTCGTTTTTAGTTGTCGAAATTACAGCGTTTTCGAACTCCGTAGTTATCATATATTTAGCTCCCGTTCCTAAATATACACACCAAACATTAGGCCATCTCCAATAGTTGATACTTAGTACTACGGTACGGGTTTAGTAGTATTCTTCTTTACTTATAAGTGAAAAGTCTTAGATTCGATTATCTCCAAATACGAATTTGAACCTCATTATTGCTAGCCCATTATGAGGTTTGGCCTACTCCCCCAACCCTTAGTGTACCCCAGGGCCGGCGGAGCTATTTTCACACCCTCATCTGTCTCCGTAGGGCGGGCTTCCTTTCTTTTAGGTTACCCTAATGCGGGTCTCTCTTTTTAACAAACTACTGATCGGCTTCCGTGCCGTGGATCAGCTGTTGACGCAGAAAGGGGAATTTGAAACCTCGTTCTCCTAAGATAGGCGTATTGGAACTTACCTCTCGGTATGGGGTTGTTTATTAAAAAAAATTAAAAAATTGAATAGAGCATAGCTATAATTTTCCATCTCCAATGGTACAAGGGCTAGATTTTATTTTTCTCAATATTTTATTACTTGTTAGCGTATTGAGAAATATTATAGCACATCACTCACACATCAACTACTATGTATTGTCTACATAACTAAACTAATATTTACACCTATGTTAATATATGCTATGGAACAATTTTTTTAGGAAGTGTATACCGACAAATATTTGGGGTATGACACGTGTAAAATTGAGAACTAATTAGCAAGATTTCTTATATATTTTAGTCCGCGTGACTCTTTATCATTGTTGAATTTTAATCCCAACGATTAGAAAGAAAGATGCATACGAAAACAAGGACAATACTGCCATCCTTCACAGGGAATGCACTTATGCGTTTACATGCAGTGTAAAAATCACCGAACTTATTTATTTGTGTAGATATCTACATCATTGGCCTTTATTGTGGTGTCTCACAAGCACGATAAATTTTTTATTGGGTTCAGAATACGGGTAGTACACCACATATTATTATATAAATGATAGAAAATTTTATTTTTCAAGTTGTTAATTTTTAAACACAAATATCTTACTACTTGTATAATGACACGTAATATACGATCTCATACTATGGTCACACTTAAAAATCTCTCCACAGGCACACTGCAAATGAGTATCAAACAAATATCAAAGCACCCCAGTACAATGATGCCGCATGGCTATCCCACTTTTCCTACCAGGTGCCGTCAATTTGGATTATTCGAGCAATTGTTTGACAACATGGCGGACAATGATGCATGGCTAACAAAGATGATTCCCTATCGACAGTCAATTTCCAAGAAAATCCACACACCGCTGATGGAGGAGAACCTAGAACATGCTATCAGTTACCGGCAAAGGTTCGGAATGGAATGGGATTTGGTAAAGATTCTCACTGCCTACATCTTGATTGACTCCCCATGCAACTAAGAAACGAGACCACAAATAAACAGCAATTCGTGTTGAGAATGAAGCTCATATTAATGGGAGAAGAAATCGTGTATGGGCTTATAAGTAAATTTGGCTACTTCTAATATTTCAATTGTTTTTTTATGGTAGAACCTCAACTTTCTTTTGGTATCAGACCAAGTTTGTCTTGTGGGAGAAGCCAAACGGCCACACATGCTGCATGTCCCTCGATTTGTGTTGTCCACGTGCTAAGTTTGAAAATTTGTCACACATGAAGATGCGTGTTTAGAATAAATCTCATGATGACTGGATGAGGGATCTTGCATGGACTTGTAACTAAGTTGGACTACTTCTATATAGCCAATTAGTTTATGGCAAAACATCAACTTTCTTCAATCCAGAACCATGAAAATAGTAATTCGGAGCAAGCTGAGTCATTTAGATCAACCGTAAGAGGCATGCATAAAAGTATTTGCCTCAAGGAGGAATCTTAGAATTCCGTCAATTTTTTGGGTTTCGAAAAGTGTGGATTTTCACAAAATGAAATACTATGATATGCTGGGAATTCTTTATGATAATCATCCACGCCTGAAACGTATCTTAATGCTTGAAAGTTGGATATGATTCATCAAACCATTGGTCCAAATCATTAACTTTCATTAAAAGTTTTGCTTGTATGATTACGTTTCATACATGTGGGTCTCATATATCCAAATCTAAATATGTGATATGAATCAAATCTAAACTGGATTAAAGTTCATGCACGAAATATAAAACAGAATAAAAGTTCAATAACAAGCTGTGCGTTCTATATCTTGCCACGTAATCAAATCAACAAAAAAAAAAATCGCGAAATAAACAATGGTGCACATTTTGTTATATTCATAGATTCCAGTTGTAAATAAATGGTTCTCTTCTGTCCTTTCCTTCTCATAAAGCACTGATAATTAACCAGTTACAACGATGACACATCCAAACATAATTATTAGGTTAATATTTTGGGTCAAACAATGCTGGAAGATTTTAGCTCCTAAATAATCCTGATATTAGACACATGATTAGTTACAATCAACAACGTTGTTTAAACACGTGGATTTGTCAAGAATATTATTTTTCATGATCGTATCACTCAATAAGAATTATGCACGTATAAATACAAAAGATTCACACGTTACATGTGACAAGATGCATTGGGAAGTCATCTCAGACTTGAAATGCGAGTATTTGCACTAATATGTAATGTGCAAATTAGTTTTGAGTCGAATGCTCGTTCAGATCACATAAACTAATTAAACGATGAAAACAGAGACCGCAGGGAAATGTGTTAAATTGAAACATATATAAGAAAGTAAGAAACCCTTAACGAGAAGGAATGACGCTGCGTAGATGAAAGGAAATGACATGGAAAATTTTACTGGGGGTTGGGTGGGCGGCTGTTGGCAGCAGAAACCCTAGACCCCCACTCAAGCAACTCTTTGCTGGTATCATCCTTGTGGACTATCACCTCTATGAAGCACAAGCTATCCTTCTTTGCCCCGGTTGCAGTCTCAATCGCTTCGATCAGTGTCATTGTCAATTTGGCACAGTGTCATTGTAAGCTTACTTCATGGAACAGTGTCATTGTCATTGTCAATTTGGCAAATGTTTTGTGTCAATTTGGCTGTCATAGTAAGCTTACTTCATGGAACAGTGTCATTGTCTGAATATTGGTGCTTAAGAGCATGAGTTAATGACATTAGCACAGCACTATAATTTCTCGACATGTCGTGAGCTGAAATGCTAGAAAGGAAAAAAAATGTCCCACTTCCTCTGGCCTCCTGAAGTGTTTCCATTCCAGTGTCACCATCTTTTGTTTCATTCATTTGTAGAATATCTTCTTCTTTTTTCTATACCTTTATTACCTTTTAACTTTCATTATCTGTACTTGATGAGTATTATTAGACCCATTCTCAAAATTTTGCATCCCCTGCTTCTTTCTTATGGTCCTTATACTCAAACATGTGCAAGTTTGTATTTTTCTGATGGATTAGACTATTGGGAACTTAGTTTCTTTTACTTTTTATATATTTTTGTTGGGTTTTTTGTTTTTCAGAAAATGAGTATTTGATTAATTGCTTGACTTTCACTTTCAAAAGGACTGTTAGAAGTTTTTGTGTCAATTTGGTTGTGATGGTAAGATTACTTCATGTAACATTGTGTTGTGGCATGTGAGTGTCGAATTTTTTTCTTAAATTTCGGAAAGAAATGCGTTTTAACGGTAGTCCTATACGATGAAGTTAGCATCCGTATAAGTTGGGAACCTAAAACAGGATTGCTGTACTCATAAATTCCTACTTTTCTCTGCCTCCTTCCCCTCTACTTTCACCAGTTGTGACTTATTTTCTTTTTTGGTTCTATCTCAGGAGTTTGTCAAGGAGAAAGTTCGTGAATGAAAGAAATCTAAACGAGAGGTATTTTCTTTTTGGTAGATATCATGAATTATGTTTGGGTGTTTAAACAATATTTGCCTAAAAGTATACTCTGTTTTTTAGTGCTATTTCAAATAAGGTAACGTCCCGAAACACTGATATTTTGGTTTTCTATTGGTATGTGTGAAACCAGCTTGATTCAGGTTACAAGGTTGAGGGTTGCGGATAGTTAATCATGTTCAATAACCTTAGTTACATGGCCATTCACTTAAATTTTGGTTTCAAGTTGTAGAAATACGGCTTTGCATTCTTTCTTAATATAAGCTTTCATTACAGCTTCAGTTTCACATCATTCGTCATTGGATTTGCCAATATAAGTTTTTAGTGAGAGAATCTTACTGGTGAATTGTTAAAAGGTAGGAAGAGAGGAAGCAGCCTGCAAATTTATAAACTAACGTTCAGATGCATTTTCTGTGGTATGGGGTGTCCAAGAGAAAGGGTTTCAGGGATTAGGTTTGGGTGGGATTTCAAGGATTAGGTTTGGGGTTTTGTTTGTGCGATTTGTAGAGAGATGGGGGGTGTCCGAGATAGGATTTAGGAGATTTGTTTTAGGAATTGCAGAGAGAGATAGGGAGTGTCCGAGAGAAGTGTGGGAGGATTTAGATGTAATGGCTGCCTTTGTTACATTATGATTTATGTTTTTTGCCATAGAGTCGAAGATGTTCGGTCTCAGAAAACGTGAACAGCCACTCTCCGTGATCGAATGCTGCACACCATGCTGCATATTTTTTTGTTTGAACATCTGTGCTTGATGACTTACCTGCTCAAACACCGTTTTTTCTGTGTTTTGCTAACTGCTAAGTGAGGTATGTAGGCTGCATGGCATATATTTTACCGTCTTAACTGCAGGGGCAAAGTATGTGTAAACTGCAGCTTGCTTCTGTTTCTTCAGTTTCATATGGAAACAGACCTTCTGCTTATTTTTGCCTTTGAACAGTTGTGGTTACAAAATTAGCTACTTGAACGAGTTCTCAACACTTTCTGTTTTTAATTACCTATTGAAATGGTTGCCTACACTGCAGGACACATTATATGTGTGAACTACATGTTTCTTCTGTTTCTTGAGGAAACAAAACTTTTTTGCGAAACCATCTCTTTCTAATCAAAGACATTTAGTTTCTTCCCACTCATTGTACAATGTGTTTATATGCCAGCTCACTTGAATGTATATAAAAGTAAATTTGCTCAACTTATCGACCTCATTCACTCATGTATCTCTTTGTTTGTTCATAATTGTGTTGAATTTGTTCAACTTAAATGTGTTTTATTCATCCGATTACGCCTGAAACAGTTGGTTCCTGCAGCAACGCACAGGCATAATTTCTAGTAATTTCTAAATTTAGGATTCTACATCCATAAACAATCAACCGTGTCAATAAATGAGATCAAAGTTCTAATAAATTCCGAAGAAGTTGAAGCTTCACAAGAACGAAAACTGAAACTTCACATTCATCCAAAGTTTACAAGAATGAAAACTGAAAGAAGTGTTTTGCTTTAAACAAGCTCAGTTCACACCAAACATTAAGATTACGTTACAATATTCGACGAATCAGCAATTCAACAAGAAGCTAATGTATGCCAGACTTTAACATGCATTTATCTTACTAAGAGCAAGATCAGTTCGTCAATATGATCAGACGGCTTCTTATTTGCTAGGTAATGAAAATTTGAAACCAGAAATATAGGGTTTTGGTCAAGCCAAGCATAATCGAGTGAGAGTTTCAATAACTCCAAAATCTGTTAATGTAAACATGTCTTCCTCTGAAACCGCTGCTTTTATCCAGACGAGGGAATATCTTGAAGAAGATGTTCTCCACAGTTTTGTAATACCATATCCTCCATCGCTTACAGAAAACGAGAGGCCCAATGAAAGCTCCAAGGCCGAAGATAAATCCGATCTCAGCAATTATAAGATCAAAATCAACTTCAGGTTGAGCATTAGAATGACCTTTTTTCGGTGGTGGTGGTGGTGGTGGTGGCAATCCTAAGGGGATATAACTTGTCAAAGGAGGCCCATACAACCCTTCATTGCCTGCAAAGGAAGCTGCTGGAAATGTCGAAAACTGAGTGCTGGTTGGGATCCTTCCAGTCAGTTCATTGTTTGAGAGATTTAAGAATGAAATGAATGTGAGGTTTGCGAGCTGTGATGGAATTTTCCCACTCAGGCTGTTGTTCGACAAGTCTAAGGACTCAACGTGTTGTAAGTTGCCCAAAGATGATGGGATTTCACCTGTTAGAGCATTACTAGACAAGTTGAGGACATAGAGCGATTTGAGTTTTCCCATTTCCACCGGTATTGATCCGGTGAATTTGTTTCCTGAGAAGTCAATTGAGGTGAAGATAGTTAAAACCTTCACCAGCTCCATCTGTAGACCTTTGGAGGTAACAAATACTTTATCGTCGTAATATATCTGAGAGAATGATGGTAGGACCTGAAATTTGATGTGGTCCAGTTGTGACAGGCTAGCACCTTCGTCAGCCATCATCGCCTGCCAGGTTTTCAAGCATCTTCCGTGTATTTGACCACTGAAATTGTTGTGAGCTAGGTCAATAATTTGAAGCATTGGCCAGCTGCCATAGGTCTTAGGACATCCAATGCGCCCATAAAATTTGTTTGATCGTAAAATAAGCACACGCAATTGGGGCATTTTGTTTAAAGAGCGTGGAAAAGTACCAGTGATCTGATTGTTTCCAAGGTTCAACACCTCTAGCAGGTTGCAGTTGCCTAGAGATTCTGGAAATTGGCCTCCTATCTGATTTCCATTCAGGTCTACCGTTTGCAAACTACAAGATCGAGGAAATTTATCAGGAATCGCACCAGTAAGGTTGTTGGTCATTAAATTAAGTACTCCAAGATAACTGCTTCCAGCAATTAAGCACTGAGGAATCATGCCACTTAAGGAATTATTGGACAAATCAAGAATATTAAGATATGGTGTCTTGCACATTGATTCTGGAATGCTTCCATTTAACTTGTTGCTCGCAAGAGAGAAGAACACAGTTAACATAAGGAAATCACCAATGTCAGCCGGAATGCTTGAGCTGAAATCATTTCTTGAGTAATCAAGATAAGTGGCCAATTGTGGAAGCATTGGAATTTGTCCCTTAAGCTGGTTGGAATGAAGGTCAAGCATAGACAGAGAAGGAGGATATTCAAGTAAAGGACCTTCTAGTGTTACTAAGGAGTTGCAAGAAAGATTTAGTTCAGAAAGATAACTGAGCCTCCAAATCCAGTTGGGTATCTCTCCATGAATCTGGTTTTGTGAAAGGTCCAAAATTCTTAAATTTGATTGATTTCTCAAGAAATGCGGAAATTTTCTCAACTTTGTAGAAGACAATTTCAATGTGGTAAGTTGAGGAAAGGAAGAATAAGAGGAATTAATATCAGCAGAAGTAATCAACAAGCTATTGTATGACAGATCAAGACTCGAAAGATTTCTTATCTGTTGAAGAGCACTGAGAGGAAACGAGCCACTGAAGTTGCTTGAAGAAAGTGAAATAACCTTTAGCCCTCGGAGATTTGAAATGGACATGGGAATTGGCCCTTCCAAATTGTTGCCACTCAAGTCAAGGGTGTCCAGTACAGAGTTATTAGCAAATTCAGGCAACTGACCAGAGAAGTGATTGTTGGAAATCTGTAGCTTTTGCAGCAAGGGAAGAGAAAAAAGAGATGGTGGAATAGTCCCATCTAACTGATTGGAACTCAAGTCGAGATGCATCAGATTACTAAGGTTTTCCCAATGAGTGGAATTAATCTGACCCGTTAGCTGATTGTGAAAAAGATTTATCAGGGTTAGATTCTTGGCCATACTGAAGGATGGAACTGAACCGTTGAACTTGTTCAATGACAAGTCAAAATAAACCAACTGATGAAGGTTTTCTATTGACCTTGGGATTGATCCAGTGAAATTGCACTGCCAAATATCTATCTTGGACAACATTTTGAGGTTGCCAATAGAGTTTGGTAGTAACCCTGAAAAGTTAGCCCCGCTTAGAACCAAGGACCGAAGAGATGCATTCTTTGGAAACTCTGGTAAGGAACCCTGAAGCTGTTGATTGCCTGATAAATCAATAGTCTGCAGTGTAGGTACCTGGAAGATCTTCTCTGGGAATGTACCATATAAGCCAGAACATGTACCATATACGCAAGAACTGCTTAGGTGCAAGGAAGTCAAATTTGGGAACTTTGAGAAGAATTCTGGAACTTGAATAGAGAAATCATTGTAATCTAAACGAACAACCGAGAGTGAGTGAAGCTTCAGTAATGAACTATCAATAGGGCCTGAAAGATTACAACTGGACAAGCTCAACACCCTCAATTTTGGCAGTGAAGATGATATAGCTTGGCACCACTCAGTCCCCCGTGCTGATATCCTTACACCATCTAGATGAAGTTCAACAAGCTCAGAAAAGTTCTGAATGAGCACATTCAAATTTGGATTCTCAAGATTCAACGCAGGAGTTTCGAGGAAATAGTCGGTAGACAAATCAAGATTTACCAACCTCGTAAGGTGTGAAATCTCAATAGGAACCTGCCCCGCAAAGCCAGCATTCGACAAGTTCAGATTGGTCAAACCTGTTAGCTGCTTGAACTCGGAAGGAATCTGAGTGTAGTTGAAGAAGTTGTAAGCCAAATTCAGGTTCTCGATTGACTTCAGACCGAAAAGAGAACTGGAATTATCAAGTCCACCAGTAATCGCCTCGCTGCTCAAGTCCAGATTCGAAACACAACCCTCTTTGCAGGACACTCCCGTCCAAGAGCAGTAGTCCGAGCCATGGTTCCAGTTCACAAGTTTTTGAGATGTTGCAGGATCAAATGTGAGGGTGTTCTTCAATTGTAGCAACAAAGATTGCTGATCGCCGGGACATTGGCTAGAAACCACAAACGTATGGAAGGTGAGTGAAACATAGCAAATGCGGAGTAAGAAAAGCCATGAAAGCAGAGGAGTTTTCATCGGAAATTGTTGCTGATATGTGACACCAAATGTAAGGAAGGAACAGCTTAGGCAGGTCCCTAGTTATTCTTCTTTGTAAATTTACTTTGTTTTCTGTTGTGAATAATTACATATGCATTGATAGATTGTGTAATGGCGTGTGAGCCAAAGACCAATTTGGTCTTAGTCAGTGGCGGCTGTGGGGTCCCGAAGGAACAGCTGCACAGAGCCTCCATCTCCAAGGGAACTTTTAATTAATTAATTATATATATATATATATATATATATATTCCAAAAAAAAAAAACTATATATGCATAACTTCACTAAGTTCAAATTTGAAAAATACCCAAATGGTTTTCTGTTTTAAAAATACTGTATCTTTTTATATATATTTTTTCTTGGTTAAAGACTTCATTTCTTTAACATATACCTTCCCTTAGATTCTTCTATATCTATTATTCAATAGAAGGTATTGTGTTACAAAGTTGACTTTCAGACTAAGTTTTGTATTTATAAATATGCCATAGAAGGAAAAAAAATCTTTTAAACACAAAAAAAAGTCTTGTGCATGAAAGGGCCACATTTTAGTTTTGACATACTGCCCCATTTTATTGAACTGTGGTTTGTTGTTATGTGATTGTAATTTGAATTTCAGTTCGGCACAGCCAATTGCACACATCTACATGTATAACCATTTCATCTTCCATTTTCCCTTATCTCAAGTACAAAAAAATGGGAACTACAAACAAAAAATAAAGTAATATCCAAGCTCCAATAGACTGTTTAATAATCATTTCATTTTTTTTTAATTAAAAACATTTTTAGTAACTATTTTTAATTTAAAATAAATAAAAAATAATAATTATCAAACGGATTCTAACTAACTGAAGTGACTCAAACGAATTGACGTGTGTATGTATGGCTCTTAGAGATGCTAAGAAAAACGCGGTAATGGTTTCTACCAAATTTGTGGTTTGCTTGACTTGTTGACTTCAAAGTCTTTCCACATATTCCTTGTGGGGTTTGAATTGTGGGTTGATTTTTCAATGTTGACGAGAGATAGGCTAAAACTTCACGCAAGGGAGTGTATTTCCCACGTTCAGATACATGCATATCCTTTCGATTTTATTTAATAGCTTATTTGGAAGTACTTTTAAAATAACTGAAAGATATTTTTGAAATCAATCTTTAATAAAAACACAAGTAAATTTTGGAAAAAGCACTTGAAGTGGTGCTTCTTTGATCTAGAAAGCACTTCAAGTGCTTTTAGAACCTAAAAACATTTTCTTTAAAAACGTTTTCAGTTACTTTAAAAGCACTTTCAAACTATGCTTAAATCTCTTTTTTACAAGGCTACAGGTGGGTTAATTAATCAAATCGTGTTTAATTCTACATGTGGAATAAAGCATTTCACGATAACCATTTCATTTTGACTTTGGTTTTCACTTTTTTGTGCTCGATATATGAGGAAAGTATACGGAGATAGGTCTTAACAAATTGAAACATAAAGATCGCAAGTATCTCATGACGATGTCCAGAATTTGGAAGGCGTCCATTCAATGTTGGTGGGTGATGACAATTGGGGAAGGTTGCAGTTGAAGTTTGGAACGGAGAAACAGAAATCTGGGCTTGGACAGAGCCTTGGTGCAAATATCAGCAATCTGATCCTGGGAAGCCACAAAATGCACAGAGACTCGATTTGCCAGAACCTGTTCCCGAATGTAATGGTAATCAAGCTCGACATGTTTGGTACGAGCATGAAAAATGGGATTTTTGGCTAAGGAGAGAGCGGAGATATTATCACACCATAACTGGGGAGAACGAGGAAGAGGATAAGTGAGATCAGTAAGTAGTTTGCAGAGCCAGGTGAGTTCTGCAGCAGTGTTAGCAAGGGAGCGATACTCGGCTTCAGTGGAGGAGCGAGCAACAGTAGGTTGCTTCTTTGCACTCCAACTGATGAGAGAATTGCCAAAGTAAATGCAATAACCGCCTGTGGAGCGTCTGTCTAAGGAGCAGCCTGCCCAATCTGCATCAGAGAAGGCACGTAGAGACAGAGCCTGGGAACACTTAGAGAACCATAAGCCCAGGTCGATAGAACCCTTGAGATAACGCAGAATACGCTTCACAGCTTGCATATGAGAGATCCGTGGAGTGTGCATGAACTGGCAAACCAAATTGACAGCAAAACTGAGATCAGGGCGAGTCCAGGTGAGGTACTGGAGAGCACCAACGAGAGACCGATATTCAGAAGCATTGTCAAGGAGGGGAGAAGTGTGATCAAGCTTGGTGGTGCTGAGAGGAGTGGCGCAGGGCTTGGCACCTTCCATGTGCGCCTTGGTCAGAAGATCTAAGATATACTTAGTCTGATTGAGAAAGATACCTGAAGAGGACCGTTTTACTTCGATGCCAAGGAAGTAGTGAAGAGCACCAAGGTCTTTGATGGGAAAGAGAGCACCGAGATGCGATATAACTTGTTGACAGGCTGCAGTGGAAGGACCAGTCACTAAAATATCATCCACATAGACAAGGATGAACACCAAAGTGGGAGATTGCTTGATAAACAATGAGTGATCACTCTGAGAACCTTGGAACCCAAGAGAAGATAAGGCCGTATGAAGCTTAGCATACCAGGCTCGAGGGGCCTGTTTTAAACCATAAAGAGATCGATGAAGGTGACAAACATGATGTGGTTTAGATCGATCTTCAAAGCCAGGGGGCTGCTGCATGAACACAGATTCAGTGAGATTGCCATGGAGAAAGGCATTGCTTACATCGAGCTGATTGAGGAACCAGTCATATTGAGCAGCAAGAGTGAGAAGAATACGAATGGTGACAGGCTTGGCTACAGGGCTGAAGGTTTCAGTGTAATCCAAGCCCTCTTGCTGGTGAAAGCCTTTAGCCACTAAACGGGCTTTATACCGATCAACAGAGCCATCGGGTTTTCGTTTGATTCGAAAAACCCATTTACAACCCACAAGATTGGGAGACGAAGAGGAGGGAACAAGGGACCAGGTACCTGTGTTGGTAAGTGCAGTAAATTCTTCCTGCATTGCCTTTCGCCAATGGGAGTATTTGGAGGCTTGGGAGTAGGTTGTAGGGATATAGTCAACAGCAAGATGGGGAGGAATAGGATGCTTGGTGGCAGTGAGAGCTTTAGGTTTAAAGATGCCGGATTTTGATCGGGTTTGCATAGGGTGAAGGTTGGTGGGGGCTGGAGACTGGGAGGAATGAGAAGGAGAGGGATCTGCAGGGGGAGATAAGGGGGCAGGATGAGAGGATAGAGATATGGAATGGGAGAGAGAGGCAGGATTCACAGGAGCAGAGGGAGATGAGGGTGAGGTAAGAACAGGAGGTGGGGGATGATAGGAAAAGGTAAGAGAAGAGGGAATGGAAAAGGGGGAGGAGGAAGAAGAATGGACAGGAGGTGATGGATGGGAAGGCAAGGAATGAAAGGGAAAAAGGGATTCATCAAAGATAACATGGCGAGAAATATAGATTCTGTGAGAGGAAGGATGAAGACAGACATAGCCTTTATGATTTAGGCTATACCCCAAGAAAACACAAGGTTTGCTTTTTGGATCAAGTTTGGAGGATGTGTATGGCTTCAACCAAGGAAAGCAACGACAGCCAAAGACCTTGAGAAATTTATAATCTGGGACTTTCTTGAAAAGAGACTGCCAGGGAGAAGGCCGGGAGATAGTAGGTAGCCTGTTGATTAGGTAGACAGATGTAGCAAAAGCTTCAACCCAGTAAGGATGGGGTACTTTAGATGCTGCTAAGAGAGTGCGAGCAGTCTCAACTATGTGCCTGTGCTTACGCTCAGCACACCCATTCTGCTCAGGAGTGTGAGGACAGGTGAGTTGATGTTGAATGCCAGAGCTAGATAAGAACTGAGAGACAGCAGTGCTAACAAACTCTCCACCAGAATCAGAACGTAAGGTAATAACTTTGGAACACAGAGAGTTTTCAACAAGTAATTTCCATTGCTTAAACACAGTAAGTACATCAGATTTATACTTCAAAGGATAGAACCAGCAATAACGAGTATAGTCATCTAGAAAAATGACATAGTATCGAAATCCCTGATGAGAAACAGATGGTGTTGGGCCCCAAACATCCGTGTGAATGAGTTCTAGAGGCTTGCTGGAGGTACAAGTAGTTCGTGAAAATGGTAGTCTGGAACATTTCCCTAGTGCACAATCTGAGCAAAACAGTTTATTTAAACGATCAACAACAGCAATACAGGATTGAGAAGCCAACTTATTGACAATCTTCACAGAAGGGTGGCCCAATCTTTGATGCCAGAGGTGTCTCGGAGCTTTGACAGAAGCAACTAAAGCATGAGACGAAGAAGCAGGTAATGATGCTGCAGAGATTGGATAGAATCCATGTTGAACTGGACCTTTAAAAAGCATCCTCCCCGAAGAAAGATCCTTCACAGTGAAGTGAAAGGGATAAAGATGCATAGAACAGGAATTTTCAAGTAGAAATTGATTCGCAGAGAGAAGATTATGCTTTAAGGCAGGGACATGTAAAACATTCTTTAACAAAAAAGAATGAGTAGAAGTATGTAAAGAGGATGCACCAGAGTGGAGAATGGGCAAACCTTTGCCATCTCCAATATACACTTGTTCTGGACCAGTATATGGTTCTGAATTCTGAAGATGAGCAGTCGAATTCGTCATGTGCGAGCTAGCACCAGAATCGATGATCCAGATAGGATTAGGAGGGGAAGTATTAGCAATCATGGCAGAATGAGAAGCTTTGCCAGTGTAGTGAGGATCCATGCGATGGGGACAGTCACAAGCTTCATGTTCTGGTTGGCGACAGATCTGACAGAATAACTTGCGAGGAGAAGAGTAATGTGGACGAGAACCACGAGAGAATCGTTGAGTAGGATTCCGAGAGTAGTTATTCCGGCCAGTGTTGTGTCTAGAGTTGCCACGAGATTGAACATTACCCCGATTTGGACGGCCTTGATTAGTAAACCCTTGAGAAGTATGCGAAGCAACAAAACCTTGAGGAGGAAAGTTTGCAGGCAACGGAAGAAGACCAGCAGATGAATGATACGCCTGAAGAGAGGCAGTAGAAACAGGTTTCTTCCGATTATTGAGCTGAATTTCCTTACTAAGAAGTAAGCCATGCAACTCATCAATAGTAGTAAAACCAATACGAAACTGAATAGCATCAACAAATGAGTCAAATTCGAGAGGTAAGCCATGAAGTGTGACTGAGATAAGTTCTGAATCCTCCACGGGAGCACCAGCATTGGCAAGGGCATCTGCAATTTCTTCAATTTGTTGAAGATATTGAGCAGCAGTCAAATCACCTTTAACAAGACTGCGAAGACGAGAACGAAGCTCGTGAATGTGCGACTGAGAGGCAGTGGCGAGGCGCGATTCCAGTTTCGCCCAGAGTTCTCGAGCAGAGGTCACGCCAACGGTGTAGGGAATCAAAGATTCAGAGAGAGTGGAATTAATCCAAATGAGGATGTTCTGATCATTCTCAAACCAGGTAACATAGTGCGGATTGAGAGTTGCAGTGCGATTGCCAGACGAATCGAGAAGATATTTGGGCGGCGCTACCAGAGATCCGTCAACGAGACCGGTAAGATTATACCGGCGGAGGATCGGAGCAAACAAAGCACTCCAGGTGAGATAGTTTGTAGTTGTGAGCTTGATTGGAACCATAGATCCAATGTTCTGGATCGTGATGGAAGAAATTGCAGAATTAGGGTTGAGAGATGCATCTGGAATCGGATGAACAGGAGAGGCCGATTCGGAAGATGGAGAGGCAGTAGTCGCCATAGCTAAAGATTGAGAAGAGATCGCGATGAGGAAACACGATCAAGATCAAGATCAAGAACCGATCGAAGAAGAAGAGGAAGCAACGCAGAGAGAAGCAGGAAAAGGGATCGAACGAAGGGTCGTGAGACTGGAGGCGAGTGATACCATATTAGGTAAATATTTCACATTAATTTATCATAACTGTTACACTGTGGGTATTTATACAAGACTATTACAGCTAGCAAAATAAAGATTACTTAATCTCTAAGTATTTCCTCTTCCTGATGTAATTACATTTGTATCCTTAATAGTATCCACCGTTAAAAGGTGGACTCCATAATCCTTTGTTTCTTGTAACAGAAGCTATTGGAAATGTCGAAAGCTGAGTACCCCTTGAGATCCTGCCGACGAGCTGATTATTTGAGAGATTCAAAAAGCAAAGGGAAAGTAAGTTTCGCACACTCTGGTGGAACTTGACATGTCCAAAGATTTAACATGCCGTAGGTCACCGGAATACGAAGGGATTCCCCCACTCAGCTTGTATTGATGCGGTGGCGGTTTTAATGTTGTGGGAAATATCTCCATCAGATTTGTCGTCGTTTAGCATGACTAGGAAGTCTTCATCCAGAAAAATCAAAGCTATAACAGAGTAAATGTTCATGATATCAAACAAACTGAGCAATACAAACAAATGTGAAAATTTTGACCGCAAATATGTCGTTCTTACCTACCTTTTACAATTAAAAACTTGCAAGTTGCAACATCAAAATATCAAAAAGTAACAAACAAGCTCACACTGCAAAACAAACAAATGTGGAAAATTTGATCGCAAATATGTCATTCTTATCTACCTTTTACAATTAAAAACTTGCGACATCAAAATATCAAAAAGTATCAGAACAAGCTCACACTACATCTCGTACTTTATATTTATGTGACAGCAGAAGCAAATGTCTTATTTCTTGCCAAACACAGGCAGAACAAGGAGGCCAGCTGCATTGCCCCTCATAACAAATTCAACGTCTCGGCCTTTGATTTATGTGAACATGTCTTCGGTGAGGACCAATTCTTTCATCAAAATGAGGGAATATCTTAACAACGATTTTATACTTAGCCATGTAGTACCATTTACTCCGCCTCTTGCACAACACAAGTGACCCGACCGCAATTCCAACTTGCATGATGATTCATCTTTGGTCGTCCGTCTTGGATATCACTCGGTAGTCGGTACACATGCTACTTTTCTTAGAGCTTGCTGTTATATTCGTTTTCTCCAACGTTGCCTTTCGAAATCCTCTCTGCTAAAGGACTGGTGAGGTTAGTATTAATACATCAGACTAGGTGTAAATAATAAACTTGAACTTTTGGGGATATCATCTCTTGCAGGATCCCTCAATGCGACAACTGCATCTGCATGTTATTAGCCAGGATTTCGATTCAATACATTTGAAGAACAAGAAACAGTGGAACTCCTTCAACACTGCTTTCTTTCGAGACTCCATGGATGCAATAGAGGAAGTCAGTAGTGATGGAAAAGCAAAGCTAAAAGATGATGATAGCCTGTTGTCTACGGAGCTTCGATGCCACCGATGTAGAAGAGCTCACCCCAACATGCCGCGATTAAAATCTCACATTACCGACTGTCGAGCCCCCTTTCCAAGCACCCTGCTCCAAAATGGTCGTCTTGTTCACGCACCAAGCAATGTCAGCATTGATCCGTAGGTGTAAAATCCATCGCGTCTCATCGAAATTTTGTTGAATATAGACAAATGCTTTTTGGTGGCTTAAACGGTATTGCATTGTGATCCTTGGTATGGCTTTTCATGATTCTCAATCTTCACAAATTTGTGTTCTCGCAGAGGTTAGTAGTAACAAAATGCATTTTCATGATTACCATTTCATTTTTAGTTGTCGAAATTACAGCGTTTTCAAATTCCATAGTTGTCATATATTTAGCTGCCGTTCCTAAATATACACAACAAACATTAGGCCATCTCCAATAGTTGACACTTAGTACTACGGTACGGGTTTAGTAGTATTTTTTTTTACTTGTAAGTGAGAAGTCTAAGGTTCGATTCTCGTCAAAAACGAATTTGAACCTCATTATTACTAGCCTATTATGAGGCTTAGCCTACTCCATTTGCCCCTTAGTGTAGATAATATCGTTTGTTAAAATAAAATATAAAAAAAAAATGAATAGAGCATATTTATAATTTTCCTTCTCCAATGGTACAAGGGCTATATTTTATTCTTCTCAATATTTTATTACTTGTTAGCATATTGAGAAATATTATGGCACATCACTCACACATCAACTACTATGTATTGTCTACATAACAAAACTAATATTTACACCTACGTAAATATATGTTATGGAACAATTTTTTTAAGAAGTGTATACCGACAGATATTTTGGTTATGACACGTGTAAAATTGAGAACTAATTACCAATATTTTATATAAGATTTAAGTCCACGTGACCATTTATCATCGTTGAATCTTAATCCCAATGATTAGAAAGAAAAATGTATACGAAAACAAAGATAATACTTGCATCCTTCACGAGAAATGCACATATGCATTTACATGTAGTGTTAAAATCACTTGACTTATTTATTAGGAAAACTAATGAAAATGATTTGAAAACTTTGAGTTTTAATGATAAGAACAAAATAAAGGGTAAAGTGAATAGTACCAGGATTGACTTTTTAATGTAAAATGTGGTTTTTCGTTAAAGTGAACAGTACCGTTGGCTTTTTGTTAAAACTCTCTTATTTATTTGGGTAGATATCTACATCATTAGCCTTTATTGTGGAGTCTCACAAGCACGAGAAATTTTTCATTGTGCTCAGAATACGGGTGGTACATCACGTGTTATTATATAAGGTGTTATTATATAAGTTGTGGGAAATTTTATTTTTTAAGTTGTTAATTTTTAAACACAAATATCTCACTACTTGTATAATGACACGTAATGTATTATCTCGTATTTCAATCACACTGAAAAATCGCTCAACAAACACACTAAAAATGAGTATCAAACAAATATCAAAGCACCCCAGTCTAATGATGCCGCATGGCTATCCCACTTTTCCTACCAGGTGCCGTCCATTTGGATTATTCGAGCAATTGTTTGACAACATGGCGGACAATGATGCATGGCTAACAAAGATGATTCCCTATCGACAGTCAATTTCCAAGAAAATCCACACACCGCTGATGGAGGAGGACCTAGAATATGCTCTCAGTTACCGGCAAAGGTTCGGAAAGGGTTTTGGTAAAGATTCTCACTACTTATTTCAAAAAAAAAACTAAAAAAAAAAAAGATTCTCACGGCCTACACCTTGATGGACGTCTCATGCAACTAAGAAACAGAACACAAATAAACAATAATTTATGTTAAGAATGAATCTCACATCAATAGAAAGACAGACCGTGCATAGACTTATTAGTAAGTTGGGCTATTTCTAATATTTCAATTTTTTTATGGTAGAACCTCAACTTTCATTTGGTATCAGAGCAAATTTGTCTTGTGGATGAAGCCAAACGGCCATACATGCAGCATGTCACTCGATTTGTGTTGTTCACATGCTAAGCTTGAAAATTTGTCAAACGTGAAGAAATGTGTTAAGAATAAATCTCAGAGTGACTAGATGAGAAATCTTACATGGGGTTATAAGTAAGTTGGGCTACTTTATGGAAAAACATCCAACTTTCTTCAATCCAAAACCATGAAAATAGTAATTCGGAGCAAGCAAAGTCATTTAGATCAACAGCAAGAGTTATGCATAAAAGTATTTGCCCAAGGAGGAATCCTAGAATTCATGGGTTTAAAAAAGTGCGGATTTTCACATATGATATGTTGGGAATCCTTTATGATAACCATCCATGCCTGAAAGTTTGATTATGTGTCATACATGTGGGTCTCATATATTCAAATTTAAATATGTAATATGAATCAAATTTAAACTAGGATTAAAGTTAATGACTAAATATAAAACAGAGTAAAAGTTCAGAAACAAGCTGTGCGTTCTATATCTTGCCACGCAATCAAATCGACAAAAAAACATCGCGAAATAAACAATGGTGCACATTTTGTTGCATTCATAGATTCCAGTTGTAAATAAATGGTTCTCTTCTGTCCTTCCCTTCTCATAAAGCACCGATAATTAACCAGTTACGACGATGACACATCTAAACATAATTATTAGGTTAATATTTTGGGTCAAACAATGCTGGAAGATTTTAGCTCCTAAATAATCCTAATATTAGACATATGATTAGTTACAATCAACAATGGTGTTTAAACACATGAATTTGTCAAGAATATTATTTTTCATAATCGTATCACTCAATAAGAATTATGCACGTATAAATACAAAAGATTCACACGTTACATGTGACAAGACGCATTGGGAAGTCATCTCAGACTTGAAATGCGAGTATTTGCACTAATATGTAACATGCAAATTAGTTTCGAGTCGAATGCTCGTTCAGATCACATAAACTAATTAAACGATGAAAACAGAGACCGCAGGGAAATGTGTTAAATTGAAACATATATAAGAAAGTAAGAAACCCTTAACGAGAAGGAATGACGCTGCGTAGATGAAAGGAAATGACATGGAAAATTTTACTGGGGGTTGGGTGGGCGGCTGTTGGCAGCAGAAACCCTAGACCCCCACTCAAGCAACTCTTTGCTGGTATCATCCTTGTGGACTATCACCTCTATGAAGCACAAGCTATCCTTCTTTGCCCCGGTTGCAGTCTCAATCGCTTCGATCAGCTCCTCTTCGCAACGGACCTGCAGAATTAACAGATTCGGTTACAAGGAGTTTTACGATCCAGGAAACCCTTTGGTTGATTAGTTGGAGGAATAGATTACGGAGATGATTAGAACGCATTAACGAAGTGATTACCTTGGTTGTCCAGCACTTGCCCTCCCCATTGTGGATGGCATCAACCAGTCCAGTGTAGTTCCAGTTCTTGATCACATTGTACGGTCCGTCATGGATCTCCACCTCAATTGTGTAGCCGCCGTTGTTTATCAGGAAGATGATGGTCTTCTGCCCATTTCGGATCATGGTGGACACATCTTGAGCAGTCACCTATTAGGCATTGAAACAATGAAAGCATAAACACATGAACAAAAGACCGATGATTCGTGATATTGATGAAATGTTATGCTACAAATCTGAGTAATTAACTGAGTAAATTTGATAAGGTTGTTAAGGGTACTTTACAATTTACAGAGTGCTAGAGAAAATTAAATGTACCTGGAAACTCCCGTCACCGATGAAAGCAATCACACGCTTCTCAGGAACAGCCTGAGCATACCCAAGAGTTGCTCCAACTGACCAACCGATTGATCCATATTGCATTTGGAACTCATACCTGCAAAACCCAATTCCAACTTCCCAATTAAATCATCAACTATATAACATAAAAAGAAACATGAAAAACTACATTCTCTCCTTGGCTTACCCGCAACCAGCCGGCAATTTCAGTTTCTGGCAGTTAAACCATGAGTCCCCTGTCTCAGCAATCACAGCAGTTTCACTTGACAGCATATTCTGGATGTGGTGGAACAGAACATTAACCCTCAAAGGTTCTTTCGGTGCAGACTTTAGAGGGTGTCCATCAGGAACAAAGATCCTGCGGTAGTTCTCATGAGCAGTGTTGTTGTGCCTGAGCTTCTTTGCAAGAGCTCTGAGGAAATCCTTCATAAGGACACAACCAAATGAAGGGCCATTTGCTATGGTCACGCGATCAGGCTGCACCATAATGGCCTTCTCCTTCTTGATAAGCAAAGAGTACCCAACAGAGCTGTAGTCATTGAAAATTGGTCCAGCAAACAAGTATGCATCTGCGGACTCCACTATCTCGGCGCAAAAAGCAGTGCTCACAGCACCCCAGTATGTTCCAATAAAATGGGGGTGGTGCTCTGGTACAAGCCCCTTTGCAGATGGCATGACAGCCAGAGCATAACCACTAGCATCAGCAAGTTCAACAAAGGCATCGCCAGCATGTGCAACTCGAAGTTTAGGCCCACCAACCATAACCGGCTTGACTGCCTTGTTCAAGAACTCTGCAGCCGCCTCCACTGCAGCCTCTAAGCCCAAATGATTGCTCAATCTGCAGACCAAAACGAACAAACATATAAATTTCAGACCTAAAGGTTATAAACATTTCCAAAACACTTCAACCAAATGGAATCAGAAACCCAAGAATGTGTACTTTGGAGATAAAGAAAATGGAACAGGCTCCCGGCTAAATGTAGGATGAGGAACACCAGCCAAGTTGCAGCTTATGCTGATATAAACAGGCTTGCTTTCTTTCAAAGCAGTTGAAATTGCGGTATCGATCATTTCATGCGCATCTTCCAGATTATTCACCACAGCCTAGTGAAAACCCAAATACCAAAATTAGCAAACTTTAAAAAACGAACTAAGAAAGTGCGAAAAACCAAACATTAATTTAACAAAATCAAATGAATATGAATTTTTCAACAAATCCATCAAAACCCAAAAAAATTTGAACTTTTCGCCAAATCCATCAAAAACCCAACAAGAATCACTGAAATTAAATTTCAACAAAAAAATAAACAACCAAACATGGGAAAATCTTGTGATTATTCACCACATCCCAGTAAAAACCCACATTCCAAATTTAGCAAAACCAAACTCTACAAATCTTTCACAAAACCCCAATAAAAATCATCA